TTCATTTATAATGGATGTGAAATTAATTTTAGTGACAAAGTAAATTCAAAGACATCAAAATCTAAATCAAATACATTCAACTACAAAAAATCTTCAATAATAAGTTTTGTATATTGTTAATATACATTTACATGCTCTGGTTTTAAACAAGTAGATGGACAAGAGTATTGTATTCAATCAATTGATATATTTCAACAATATGTTTATCGCCAAAAATTGTCAATTAAATTTTACATATTCTTGAAGTTTTTTAGTAGAAGATGAAACATTTTAGTATATAATACCACATTTATACTCAATGATTTAATTATAAATAAAATCAGAATTTTCTCTTCTTGAATGTTTTTTTTTATGTTGCTCAAATGTGATATGAAATAAATAACTTGTAATATAATTTATAAATGTTTCATTGATTGATTGATTGATATAAATATAAATATATATATACAGAATAAATTAATTTGAAGCAACATTAATTTGCAATTTGTGTTTATAGAAAGAAAAGGAAAAAGAAAAAATCATTTGAAATTGATTTGAGTTGGGATAAATAAATTTTAAAATATGATATGTTGTTATAGAAAACAAATCAAAGCTTAGATTTGTCACAAGTTGAAATTTTTACTTTCAAATCTATAAAGTTATTCAACTGATAAATAGCTAAAAAAAATATGAGAAAGACGTAAATTATGCTAACTCAGTTTACATTGAAATTTTTTTCAAAAATATAACATTTAAATTTATATATTTTTTCCTCATTTAGAACTTTGAATACAATTTCAGACGGATAAATGAATATTATTTGAATATTTAGACATATGACTTTCATTTTCAAATCAAGATAAAATAAAATTATGCTGACTTTTGCATCCAACAGTTTTTGTTTTTAATTGCAAGTGTTATGAAAGTTTATAAATTATTCTGATCTATTTTCATTAATAAAAAATATAAACTCATCAATGTTATTAATACATATATATATATATATATGAAATATCATAAGAATAAAATTATATATTTATATTTTTTTATAAAAATCAAGATAATGCATCAAAAGTGATTTTTGATAACTATTGTATACTATAAAATCATCAAATTAGATTAGTAAAACATTTGTGTAAAGTATGAAATATATACTGATTTATCTATTCTTTAAAGTTATGAAAATCTGGAAACTCATGATGCTATAAATAATGTATTGAGTTTACAAGAACAAAATTTTTTTTTTCCAGTATAAGTCAAAGTTGATCCTTTAGCTTGATAACAACAAATATTAAACATGAGATGCAATTTTTTTGATTTAAAACATGATTGAAAAGCTTGTGGAGATTTTTGAAACATAAATATATGATCTATAGCAATTTTATCTATGATATGAAAGATGATTGACCAGAACACAAATTTTTTCTTCTTCAATCTGATTTAGGGATCAACAAATCTACATAATGAATAATTTGCATTACAAATTTGTAGCTATCACAAATTTTGAATAGTGTAAAATATATGTACAAGATTGTTTATTTTTATATGGAATTTCGCAATATTGTTTGAAAATTTGAATTATACAAGAAAATCGGTTATTCTCAATATGATTTGACGAGATATTTTGATATAATAACTTCATATTCATGCGCATTTATTTGTTCTTAGATAATTCAAGTATTTTTCAATTTGTATAGTTTTATTTTTTCTTTATGTATTTTGAAAATATTTCACTTTGTTTATAAATTTTTGCAAATGAAGTCATTATTTTTTATAACATGAAAAAAATCGTATGAAAATTAACAACAACAATGTTGATAGATTTAACAATAACGCCCTATGCTTATTATTCTATAAATTTTAATTGAAAAGATATTAAATATTTAAATTTATCATCTTGATCTATATTTTATCATATTTTTATCGTCATAAATATACCTTGAATGATTTAATTAATTTTATTTTTTTGCATCAATGATGATATTATTTTCAAGCACTATATTATATAATATCATTAATGTTTTTTTGATAATGTGATATTTATTTTGATGATTTTATAAGTAAACATAAAATTATTATTTTATAAAAATTTTATTTAGTTGAAATTGTATTAAGATGAACTCTTTAGATGTAAAATCAAAGGAGAGTAGCAAATACAGATAGGAAAGCTTGAACATGAACCAAGATAATTAGTACAATCAAGAACTCCTAGCTAGCATGAAGAACCCACTTTAATAATCAAAGAACAAATTGAATTTATTTTTATGGGATTATTTTATAAATATAATACAGATCTATTTATTTGATGAGTCAAACACAAGTTTGAATCGAACGTGTACTGTACTGTCTTACAAGAAAGGACAAACGACGGATGACTTCATCTGCCAGTTGGTCCCATTTTAAGCGGCAGGTCCAGTAGAGTACGATAGAGAAGAAAGTCATGCGTACGTAAGCCCCTTAGTAAGTATGTCTGTAGTTTCATTCATTACTGATACGCCGGCGTCTAGTTCAATTCCCAAGTCTTTATACAGACATAAAGAAATATAAACACCGAGCGATCCAGATTGTGGGATGGGTAGTGGTGCACAGAGCCCATCTTACCTCAACATTTAGCCACATGTTGTCACTCCTACTATAATCTATTTCGTGAAGCAGCTGAACTGGCATGTTTTATCTCTTACTGGAATCAAGTATTGTATGAAAGTCATAATACATGAAACCTAAGCAATGGGAATGAGGAGAACTTCCGTTTACCACCAAGACGTGTCAAACAAAAATGAGGCACATCAAGTGATGTAGCAAAATTGACTGGATATCATCAAGTCTTAGTTAGATCTATCTATATGGCTCGGAAAAAAGTAACAATGTCATACTGTAATATTGATACATGAATGATCTAAATCAAACTATACACAGATTTTACTGAATTTTGTAAGGATTTCAAACATCACATGACGTTGATATCTGCGTTATTTGTACATCAGTTGATATTCTTTAAAGAACAATATATAAGATCCTAACAAATTTAACAAATATGCAAGCTTGAGTTTTTATTTGCAGTGTAAAAGGCATGCTACACTATTGAGGATCAATGCAAAGACTTACATGCCAAAGGATGCTTTTGTAGTACACTATAATGAGATGTAGTACGGTAGTCAATCGTCATGCCTCAGGATCTGAACACAGTGTTTCAGCTTGAGTATGGGGATCCTGCATATCAGCTAAATTACAAATGAAGTTACTGAGACAATATCATTGTTCAAAATTTGTAGTTTTTTTCACCTGATTATGAAAATTATAACTTATAGGGTGAAAGATAGCACGCCAAATTATCAGTATTTTACATTGTCCAATTTTACTAAAGAGAAAGCATATAGACGTTTCAACCTAGTCAATAGGGGTATTTTATGGACATAATAATTTATCCACATGACAAACAAATTATAGTATCTCTAAAGAACTGAAAAACTTTATTGGACATTTACCGTAATGTTTACTCTTAGTCGAGATATACCCTGCATAATTCAAATCAAGATGCATGTAAAAAACTTCAAAGTTATTTATTCCTCTGTCAAGAGATTTGAATAAACATCTGTTCGTTTAATATTTCCGAATTGCATATAAAACTATGTCGGATGTTAATTTTTATTTACTTTCCGTATAAGACAAAAAATTACTCCTTAAATCTGAGGCAAGATCCCTGCCAATAGAGTAAGATGTTCTTAACTCGGAATTTTTAAATTTCAAAAGTTCTTTTTTTACAGAAGTAGCCATGCTCAAATTATGATTTGACATATGGAACATAATGCTTGACTGTTATAGTATCTCATGTCAAATTTTGTTAGATTCAAGAAATCTCATGAACACGATCTAGTTTCATCTTACAAGATTTTCAGATTTTTTCATATGAATGAAGAGAACCGTAAATATGTAGAAGTTTCAGAAAAGTGTTCTTCAGGATTCAACGGAACAAAATCATTATAAAAAAATTAAAATTCAAAATTTGATCTTCAAATGTTGATTATGTCAAACATTTTGAGATCAATTTTTTTCATTGATACAACTGGAATGATCTTCAAAAAAAAGTTGCACATTTCATTATATTACATTTACAACCTTCAATTCTAAAAAAATCAATGAAAAATATTATAGTATTGCTTTATAATATCTCTGAAATTATTTGTTGGTTAAATAAACCATATTTTTCGAAAGAAATGATGAATTTTCAAAAAAATAAATTTAAAATAAAGTTTTAAAAAACCAAGAACTAAAGAAACTATTGGAGAATAATATTTAATTTCTTCAGATCATTAATTGTTTTGCGGGATTAGGAAATAAGGATTGATTATGAAACTCGTATTAGTTGGTTGTTATTGCAATAAATGGATCAATGTAAATGGGTTCCATAATATGGCAATAAACTAGGGAAGACTCTTTGGAAAGAGTAAACATTCACAGGAGCAACAACCATCAAGAGCTTGACAGGCTGCCACCAGCAGTGTGCGAGTATCATACTTAGAGTAATGGACGAAGTAGTCAAGTCGATGCAACTAATACCTTGGAACTCATGCTAATGCTAATGATCCGGAGGAACTCACTGACTACATTTATTGCCAATTACAGGCACCAGTTTCGTCATAAACGACAGCATACTAGCAGTCTAGTGCTAAAATTTGAGTTCCCTTTTTCTGATTAGATAATCATCTTATGATTGTGCTTATGACCTTTTTTGCGTGGTTCATGTACCATACATATAATAGAGTGATTCCTTTGCTGGCCCGCTTGATTTAATACACTTGGTATTTTTGGCGTTCTTTGCATGATCTATATACCACGTACGAGAGAAAGTCATCGTCCGGTGGAAATAACAGACTTCCTACCGTTGTACAGTAGGGTCGAAAAGAGTGACCACCGGATTTTGGCCGGTGAGCAGGGAGAGAAACCGGCTGCAGTCGGTGGCAGGAAGGAGCATTCAACAGACAGGCGAGAGACACAACGCTCGCCCTGCATGCCGGGAAGACAAGTCCGGCAGAACATGCGGAATTGCATTTGCAGTGATGGCAGGGAGGCATGGATTCGGAGCAGGGCAGCCAAATGTGGTCGATAATCAAGTCGATCTGGTGATGCGATCGGTTGCGCTAGGAGTTGCGAGTTTGTCTAGCGTTTTCTTGGATTGAGGAGGTGATGACTGTCGAGGGAAGGCTGGATGATTTGGCAGAGGAGAGGAGAGGATTTTCCGGGGGAGTTTAGCTCAACTTCCAAAGGCGTGGCGTGAATCTGCTTTGATCTATGGTGATTCGGAGGCGTCTGTGAGCTAATGACGGGGTGAAGAGTTGTGTTTCATTTTCTTTTGCGGCGGATGTGGATTCAAGCTCTTTGCAATGCAGGTAGCTAGAATTATAGCGCGTCCCCGGTGCTTCTCCTCTGTATATGTGCCTTCCTACAGGAATGGCGTTTCGAAACTTTTCCGTGCCGAATTGCGTAGTCAAGGTAAGCTTCTTCTCTCACGTATTTCTCATATTGTGTTTTATCGTTGTTTGATTTCTGCAGTTCTTTATGAATTGCGCGTACAACGTACGCACTTGAACGCCCTCGATACTTAGGGTTGCCAAAGTCCCGATCGAACGTGCAAATCAATGTCCTTCTAGATGGAATATCGAGACCATCTCTTCTCATCGAGGTGAAAGTTGGAAATTCGGACGATGTGTGAACTGAATTGAACTTCCTACATCGAACTTTTTAGATGATACGTTCTTTCTCCTCGTTTTGAGGCGAAAGGATTTGAAGGAGAGGATTGCGACATTAAACGGAAAGCCAACTGAGTGACGATAGATACATCCAAAATCGTATTACAGATTTCGCTCATCACTTCTAGTTTGAAGAAACTTCTTTTCTTTAATCTACTAAATGATATGTTTCTGAGATAATACTGAATATTTATTGCATTTGTGCACAACAATAGTACCTTGGAGATCAACAATGTCTTCAGTTTGTTTGATTAGAGATTTAAACAAACTGCTCAATGTTTGTTCGAATCTCTAACAAACATTGAGCAGATGAGAGGTGAGATGAACATTGAGATGAAGAGAGAGGTCAAAGTGCTGATTTTTTCATTCATATCCGAGAACTGTAATTTCGTCTGTTTCTCTGATTCTCCCCTCCAATAGTGATCATGCCACGCTTGTCTTATGATTGCAGTCAATGCCTGCGTGCATTTTCGAGGCCGTTCCACGTAGGTGATTTGCTTGTAAAGTTCATCCATTTTCATAAAACAATCACTAGGCTTTTAATTTTTAATACGTGGAGAAGGAATAGTGTCTGGCTTCTACTCAAATGGACAAGTGCTGACCGCAGGCCTATGTGTGGTTTTAGGTTTTTTCACGGACTATCTTTAAATAGATGGATATGTATTTTGGTGATTGATGTCTTGTGTCAATTTCACACTGTTGCTACTTAGTATCTCCGACGATTTGACTGTACTTTGTTGATATCTGATTCTTGTTTCCTCAACTTACAGATAGTAAAAATAATGTCGTACAAGCCACATGCTTGCAACCTTATTTTTCAAGGCTCTTTCCGAGCATCACTTCTCGGGAGTCACGCTTGAAGCTACTGAAGCCAGTTCAGTCGACGGTCAATATTGGTATGAACTTTTTTCAGTTGAGAACAATTTCGAAGACTCAGAGCAGATGGGATGTGAATCCAGGGGTTAATAAGTGTAGAGTTTAGGGTTTAAGATTTAGACATCAGTTTTCCAATACCGCATGGCCTTTCTCGAGTAAAAAACATGTCATACGATTGGTGTATCGAGTAACATGTGTCTCTGATACAAATCTTGGTCTGAAGTGATCTGGTCAGAACACTTAGATACGGTTAAATTTTGAAAATTATTTATCGTCCGAAGGGCTCCGTAGAAGATTACGTAAAGAACTTTTTTTGGTTGACATTCTTCTTTGTCATTTGCAGGTAGAAGTTTTGGACGAAGCTGGATCTGTGGACTGGCCATTGGGAGCACATACTTAAGTAGATATTCTGGTTTAGGCGAAGTCTCTTATATGGAGAAGGGTAAGGCTTATTGAGCGCCTACTTTTAGGTATATCCAAGTGTATTAATACATTTGTAGGTGTATTATAGATAACAAATTGCATCGATTATAAGATATTTGATGGGGGCTTCTTTTTACTGTGGGATCTTAGTGGAGAGATTTTTCTCACTTACGTATCTTTCTCACTGGCCTTCATAGAGAATACAGACCAGCTTGAATACGCACAAAGCAATCTAAGCTCGTAACGTGACTGCATGATAGAAGGTGCATATTCTTCCAAAATTGTGAATAGAAGCTTTTACACGTAGGTTTATGAATGACTAAAAAAGTATGTTACGTTCTCTACAGATGAGCAGGTAAAAAAGTACTCATCCGAAATCTCTGCAAATTGGGAAAAGCGACAGTACCGGCTGGTCCTCTGGATCAGGAGATTGTGGTTACCATCATTGTGTGTATTGACAATAGCCTTAGGCTGGCAATATCCCCTATCCCTGGTGGCCAACATTCTCTTTCTAATGTGGAGCTCAAAACCTAGTCCTTCATCCATCTATATGTGGGTCGAAGAGGTGAGATTCAATTCGAAACTGCATTGAAGAAGTCCTGCTTCAGCATCTTTTTACAATTGTTTCAACTTTTAAATCTTAAAAGAGTTGATTTCTTCAGTTTCATTCGGGGTTTACATCTTCTTGGTCTGACTTCGTTGCTTTCGTACATCAGAGACGTGAGGAAGAAGCTATGGAGAAGCGTGGCTTGGAACGTGTCAAAGCCCAGGTTAGTGGGTTTCTAGAGGTTAGTGCTTGAGCTTGATGGCTCAAAGGCCTATGGTGAACCACATGAAATTTAGCACAATTGTTATTCAAAGAACTTGATATTTGCTGCAGCTGAGGAGTTTACCTGAACCTGTCTGTGTTATGTGCAGGCTTCGGCCGTGATGCATGTAGAAGTTCGGGATTATAAACTTTTCTGTTTGGCCAGAGTCACATCTTTGACTAAAAGGTCGACAATGATAGGTATATTAGGTGATTGGTGGGTGATTTACTCATCAACCCACGCCATTCACACCGGTGTGAACATGAGGAACTTGATGGCAACGGTACCCCCTTTTGTAAAAGAACAGTTTAGTATGAATTAGCGAGTATCTGTATGATATGTAGGGCAAAACGGCGGCTGATGTATCGTTTTTCAAAGTTTTGCGAGCTCCAATCTTGACAATGAGTGCCAACTAACGGCAAAAGGTCATGCTTCTGTGATTCTGCTGGGTGGTTTGATCAGTAAGTGCTTTTATCAATTTATTCGGATGGACTGTTTGAGGCATGTCAAGAATGATACTTACTCACAGCTTCAACAGACGATTTGATTTAAGGACCCATTAGGGATACTGTTCTCTTTGTGGCAATCGGTGTATCACCCAAGCTGTTTGTCATATTTCATTCTCTGGACATTTATGCTATGTTCGACCTTGCTCGGTCTTGACTTGTCCTTGTTACTCTCATTATTATCATAGTGCACAATCCACTTAACAATTCATCTAGTATTGAGCTTCAGAACTTGACATTTAGTCTTGAATGAATGAGATTGAAGATCGAAGTACAGCATTTATGCCTCTAATTGGCTGAAGTATCAAAGATGACATTGAGTGCCAAACATTTATTAAGCTTAAATTAGCCTTGATTGTCGGATGTTTCAACATGATGGGAAGTCAAACGATCGATTCGCGATGCGTGATTTCGACCACAATTCGTAGTCCAGACCATGGATAAATGGGCTACTCGCCATGGAACTATGTATAACTCGCCCGCTCTTTGCATCACAAATAATTAATAAACTAAGTTTCCAACGGAATGGTATACTATACACTTGGATGAGTTAAATTTGATAGCACCTGCACAGGAATGATAGTAAGATACGCAATATCCCACATATCCCATTTCAGCACAATTAGTAAATTTTTTAAACGTTTGGTACGTGGTCACTGCATTTTTTCTGAAGATGTGATTATTTATTAACCTTCTCTGCAAGGCGAACAAAGTCTTCTATTACGAGCCAACATCCTTCATGAACGAATTACAATCCAATGCAAAGTTAGAGGAAAGATAGAAGCCTAATCCTTGGAGAAGAATCTGTTTTTCTAGCTTTCAAAGAAGTCTCCAGTGCACAACGGGCTTGCACTGGCAAAATATCAATACTCTGTCTGACATTTCCCGTAAAACCCTAAGGAGGTAGATGCTGCGAATAGATGGTTTATGTTGTACAGACCACACATGAATTCCATTGACAAGAAAATGAAAAAGAAGGGAATGAGGTGGAAGATTAATAGCTTTTTGAAACAGGAGTGCACCTAGCCAAGACACCGAATATATCGCACGATCCTGCGCGGACAGATGGAGACTTAAGTATCCATTTTGACAAGGTTGTATGTAGAATACAGCATTTAAGATCACTCAGATTACTATCAAATACTACTGTAAATACCATCTAGAGATTTAATCAATTATAATCATTAAGAAGTAAGAATGCCACATCTACAAGAACTTCTTTTAACAATTAGCTCTGTAGTCATGAATTAAATCCATGATGTGTATATTGTCCTGGTGTGCTCAATCAGAAGCAGTAGACTAGCTGTATTGACAGATATACAAGAACCTTGTGGAAACCCGTCATCTTAATCGGGTGAAAGTACCAAGAACACATCTTACATTAATTATTAATTTATATAATAGGAAAATTAACGTTAATGTGCAAACAAATTGGTGAAGAAATTTTAAAGCTGAGTTTGAGTATCCATAAAATAGTGTTTTTGTCACGTAGAAGATATTTTAATCAAGATGATATATCACCTGCGATTGATGTTTATCTAATATTGTACTTCATTACTAACACTAGATCACACACACAAAAATCCAATTTTTTCTCAATTAAATAGATAATGTACAATTTTAGTTGAGATCTTTATTTATCAATTTAATCAAAATTTAAAAAAATTATTGGATACAATTTGGTATTTAAATATCAGAAAATCAGTAAAACATACGTATTATATTTTTTATATGCGTTTCTTTCTATTCTATCTAGACAGACTGGATCTATATATAAAATAAGATTAATCCAAATTAGGGAAGAGAGATCGTAAACATATGTTTGCTACCAACAGTTGTATACTTTAAACCACCAAATTTGATTAGAAAGCCATGTAATATCTTGATTTACACAACTACTTGTTTGAAAAATCAAAATTGAGTCATATTTATTTCTATTGTCAAAAAAGTGAAAAAGTGCCTGTCGTTAAATATTTTTATTTTGGGGAAATATATACTAACTTAAAATATGATCGATAAATATTATTATAAGTATAAAGTGGATATTTTATGATTAAACATTCCAAAATAAACTATCTTCATGTAATTTCGAAATAAATATTTTTTAAAAAGAATAAAGAATAAAATGTTTGTATCATACTGATATAATGGAATACACTGTATACCATTATATCAGTTAATGTAATCGGTTCCACTCAATAATGTATTGAATGGAACCGAGAGTCGAGTTACTGTAGCTTCATAATGGGAATGAACTTAACTCGGGTAGGTTCGGCTAGGCCGGATCGCTAACGTTAACAAATCAGTGAAATGCACGGTCAACGAGCTCCGGCTTCAACCTCGCGGGGTCTTCGAACGAGGGCTCTTCCCGCCTTGCGGTTTCCCGCCACTCGAAGGCCCAGAGGTCTGCAGCCGGTCGCCGGGTTCGTCCTGTGGTCTGCGCCAAGTGGACTCGACCAGCAGAGCGCGAAATTCTCTTGCCGCTGACAGTCGATGATGCTCCGTCGAGGCCAGCCTCGTACGAGCTCGTGCCCCTCTCATCGCTCCCAGCGGCGCTGCAATTTCGTCTGCGTTTTGTGAATGATCGAGACGAGACGACTATGGCGCGCCGGTGCTGCGTTTGAGCTGCCAGATTCTGGTTATTCGAGTAGCGAGCTGCCCTGTCTCGTCTCGTCTCGTCTCGTCTCGTCTCGTCGCGATGGATCGGGCCCCCATGGTGGACGCTCTTCGTGAAGAGTTTCGTGATGCCAATTTCGACGTAGAGGATGACACCGTGCTCGAGCAATGTGCGTATTTTTTTCTCTCGGCATTCTAGTGTGCTGGTCGCCATGTTTCGCGTTCTGTAAGATTTCCTAATAAATCTGCTCATTTGTAACGAGCTTCACTTCTTGAATCGGTTAAAGCCCGAAGATGTTGCGCGCTTAGCAGTGTAGTTGCGTCAGCTCGTTTGGCACTAGCTCGTCGTTGAGGCGAGAACGAGCAAGCGGGAACGTCATTGCTTCTCCTCTGGTCGATGGAAATGATTGTTCCCTTGTATGTAGCCGCCTTGCTGTTTCTGGGAATGACAGAAGCTTGTGCTCGGTGGTGTCTTTGGACAATGCAGGCGCTTCTCTGTGCGTCGTCTATTCGTTCAAACCTGCAGACCTCGTGTCAAGCTGGGAGGTGTTTTATCTGAACAGGTGCACTTCGCGCTCGGAGCCTTATTGTGATGTCTGTGTCTTTTCCAGCTGGGATTTTTTGGATTTGTTCTTTGGTGCTAGCAGGCTGCTCGTCTAAAGAGCACTTAGAATGCGGAATTTTTGAATGTCCCTCGCACATGGATTTATCTGCATGCACAAGGCTACTTCTCAGCGCACGAGCTGCCGCATTATTATAAGCGTAAAGAATGGCGAAAAAATTGTAGAGCCAGGTCTAAATTGAATCTGTTGTCCGAGGTGAATGTGAAAAGAAAGCTTGCACTGTGAACCGGGACTGTGCAGACAAATGAACGAGGGAAAGGTTTCAGTTGCACTACTGCCGAAGTTTAAATCCTTTTTGCAAGAAGAGCAGCGCGAAGCGCTGCGTTCAAAGCCCATAGATGGATTGCACTCATTTTCCACCATCGATGACGTAGACATGTGAGTACATATTTCCACCTCCTATCACTAAATTCCGATGTGAACTTCAAGTTTCTGAACCATCACACACGCAATCTACGTCTTGAATTTGTGTGTAGTGAGAAGTGGCTGAATTCAATCCCTATATGCAGGTTGCTGAACGACAAGAATGATGAGGGAGAGCTCCAAGAAACACCTCCAACTCAACGCTCTACATCCAAGAAAGATCTGTCACCGGGCGCCTTCCGAGGCGTCAAATTAGAGGCAGAATTTGCTGCTCTCATTGGTCCTAAAACCCCCAAAACCCCCGCCGGGCCATTCGGGAAATCATCAAGTGAGGGACCTCGACCCAAGTCTGAAGACAGTCCACTGACACCTTTCGCCAAGAGACCAAACAAGTGTGCAGTTCAAACTACTTACAATGCGGAGTTAAAAGAGCCTGTCGAAGAGAGAATTGCGGCTGGCTCTGAGGATGATGTCCTCAGACGACTTCGTCCCATAGAGCGGTGCCAGATAGAGGTCCTCAGTCCTTCCCCAAAAGTGGGCTGCCGCTTCATGTTTGATCGAATCGAAGACAGAGTACGTTATGTCTGACCACTCATCTCCTTCGGTCCAGTTCGTCATTATCGGGTTGGACGCTCCAAATCGACATTGAAAGTAATGTAGCGCCAACATCGACGTCTAAATAGTGTAACTGGAGGACTCTCTGTGTGTTTGTACTGAACACTCTGCTCTTTGGATTGTGCAGTTCCTCGCCACAGAGACGAGACTCAAGAAATTCGCGAATGCTCTCGCTGCCAGCGAAGGGTGCAAGGTCTCGAGTAACGGTGCTCTAGCTTCTCAGGTGAGCTGAAGAGTTGCATGTAATGTACCTAAAAGGACTTGGTATCATCTCGTCTTTAAGAAAAGGATTCTGAGATTGGTTCTGTAATATATCCAGGAACAAATCATGGTGGTTGGAAGGATCTGCTGTGAAGGTGAAGGTCATCTAAATGACAAATCAGTTCTGCTCGAAGGAAGGTACACGACTGAGTCTCTTACTTATTGGTGTGAACATGGATTCTAGGAATTCTTTAACTGAAAATGTCGTTTAGAAAAGTGTTGGCTCTAGTAAGATTGTATTTCTTGAGGATGTGAAGATTCCGTGCAACGTAATTTGATACTTACTCACTCTTCTTTTAACTCATCACATTTTATGTTCCAAATTCGCCCAGTGTGGAGTTCTGTGGAGGGCAAAGAGTGCGTCTCGATCTTCGAAATATATCCCAACTGTCGCTGTTCCCTGGCCAGGTATGGGTCTCTCCCTTGACTTAATTATCAAGCCCCAAAAGTTATTGTACCTTTGCTTCCGCGCATCAAACCTTCAATACTGGTTACTGGAAAATCTCCTTTGAAATTGACCTCGAAGGCGACTATGATGTAATAAATCGAAATGTGCATACTAAATTATCCATCTCCAGGGCTTTCTGAAACATATTCAATCATATTCAATCTTTTTTAATCCTCGAGTGTTTTACTTTTCTCGAGATATCCTTGCTCACATTGCACGTCAGGGCGTACTTCTGGAAGTCGCATGCAGTGCGAGAATGTGCTATGCAATCTCATCTCCGGTCGCACGTACAGGTGGTTGGAGTTGAAGGACAAAATCCAAGTGGCCACTGTCTAGTGGCTTCACGGCTTGTCGACTCTATCCCGTGTGCAGCGAGGTCTGATCCATTTGAGAACCAGGAGCCTGTATCCAAAAGAAGAGTTCTTTCACAAAATGAAGACGTCGAGATGGAATCTACCACTCAACACCCGGTTACTCTGGTAATGCTCTGCGCTGATATAGCTTTTTCCGAACTAGCTCCTCAATCTCTTCAAGTTTCATTCATGTAGTTGTCACGTGACTGTGATTGTGGCTTACGTAATAGCTCTCTTTTTCGGCATTGTCGATCTTGCACATTGTGGTCTGGACCCATATATCTGCGTTCTGCAGTGATTCGCGTCTTACTCAGTTTCTCTTTCATTTCTTTTCAAGGTTACAGCAGCAGGACCTTACACAGCAACTGATAACCTCTTATTTGAACCTTTAACTGACCTTTTGTCCCATGCCCGACGGAAACGGCCAAGGCTCCTTCTACTGGTACGCTCACTCTGTTTGTTGTCAGGACGTGCTAAGGTAGCTAGCTTAGGGTTTAGGAACGACTCATTAGTGGGCATTTGGCATCCATGAAGTTGATGATTACATTGAAATTCGGTGTGGTTTGTTGTTTCATCAAGAATTCCGAACTTGCTTATTACACTGTTTACTGGAGCGACCCCAAAGTGGACAAATCTCAGACTCGAAACAAGTTTAACACTTCGGATGTTTCCGTTGCACTTGCAGATCGGACCTTTTGTGGATTCCGATCATTCCATGATAAAAGAAGGGCTTGTGAATCGAACTTATGAGCAGATTTTCAAGGATGAGATCAAATCCAGGGTAAATGTCCAAACGTTTGTGGCCTGTCGGCTAGTTTGATTCTGGTTTTGGGTCTACAGTATCATATGACAAAAAAGCAAATACTCATCCTTCAAAACCACAGGAGAAATGTCATTCTCGAGAGATATTCTTTCTTTACGTGCATTCTCTTGTAGACTCGTCAAGTTGCGCCCCATGTTTATGGATGCCGGTGGTTGGCCTCTTCAGATTGAAGACTACTGCCAGGAAATGGGAGACGGTGCAAGGGTGCTGCTTGTCCCATCTACTCGTGATGCACACCTTGATTGTGTTTTTCCGCAGGTAATTTCGTCAGCCTAGTTATATTGGACACACTTCTGCATCCCGGTCTTACCGTAGTCGTGTTCGCAAATGCCCTTATTGGTCAGAAACTGTTATTTTTTCGAATTGAGCCTAAGACCTTTACAGGAGTTTCAATGAGTCTCAACATTTCACTAACTGAGATATGACATTGAATTGCAGCCACCTTATAACAAGAGATGCTTCAATGACCCGGACGACCAGGTATAGTAGAGATCGATTTTAAACATTCTCTGCATTTGTTCTGCCGCTTTTGGATTTCACTACCAATCTCATAAGAACTGTAATGGAGCACTGTGGCAGTGTAATGAAATTTTCTCTAAACAAATTGCTGCTGGTTTATTGCCTGCTGTAGATTACCCTACTTGGGAATCCGAGCATCTTTCGCTGTGACAATCTGAACTTGGGGTGCTGCTCTATGGATGTCCTACGGCACTTGAGTTGTGAAGAGATGTCTAGAGTGCCTGCCGGCACAACCAGCGATCGTATGACAAGATTAGCGTCCCACATCCTAGGCCAACGAAGGTTTGCCATCTATTCACTTGATTTGCGTGCCCTGTTTACGAAAAGAACTCTGTATTTTTTTTTTTTTATGCAGCCACATCACTCCAACTGTCATGCCATTTTGAACCTTTTCCGGATGTTGAATCGCAGTTTCTATCCGCTCTTTCCCCCTCCGCCGGGAACGTCACTCGATCTGTCTCTTATGCCTGAGGCATTGTCAATAGCACAGATACCGGACATTCTGATACTGCCCTCAGATCTTGCCCCGTTCGTGAAGGTACGTGATTACTCATTACTCAACAGTGATTGTGCCTGGTTGTCATGAAATTCGTCACTGATGCGCGTGCTCACTCAAATCACAGCACCAGTTCAACATACGTAGCGGTCCATTGCTGGCAATCGTTCTGACGAAAGCCGAATTCTGTATCTGTTTTGCGCAGGTGCTGTCACTCCCTCCTCAGTCCAAACCAGTGGATCCAGCGAGTGATGAGCCCATCTCGTCGAACGAGGAACCGGTCAAATGTCTGTGCATAAATCCTGGCCGTCTGACAAAAGGAAGCTCTGGCGGCACGTTTACAGAACTTTTGGTTTTGCCAGACACGACGTCCGAAGGAAGTGATGCCTCAACACCTGTGACCTCCAGAAGCAAAGTCGTCATCAAGCGCATCTAATTGCCGATGCTCAGTTAGTCTGCATGAGCTATCTTTAACTTTCCCCATGAAGCCACATTGTCTCTTCTCTTGCGCTGCTCTTTCCGCCTTAGAGGGGCATCGGGGTCCATTAGTGTTTAGGAGAGGAGGCTTAGAAACAATAATGACAGTGATAAATGGAAAAAATTAGTTAAAAAAATTAGCGCGAAGAACGCATTCGAGCTCAGTCTCCATTTGTAAAGAAATCTCGCGGCTCGATCGAAGTCACCGAGATAGGAATACCGTGTACATTATCAATTTAATCCATGACCCGAGGGTCTCATTGACATTCGAACTGATTGTTGCCCTTCCCCTTGATTCTGAGTTATGATATGATTGCTCGTACACTTGGCATCTGCTTGCAGTTTTTTGGGTCGAGGAGAGTGATGTCATCCTCCATCTAGCCTCAAATCTACTTTCCAAATTTAGCGATGGTTGACCCTCTCCGCACTCGATTCACCCAATTGTCTTTTTGTCCTGGAGCCCAAACCTGATGGTTTAAAGTGTGGTTCTGATTCTCCACTTTCCCGTAAAGCTGGAATACATGCCGCGCTCTGGCTGTTCGAAGTCAGGGAGCTTCTCGAGCCATCGGAGCGAGCACTGAGCGAGAGGACAGGCGGAACGTAAGCTATGGCGGTAGCAGCCTCCTGCATCCAAGTGCTCAGCATCGCTGGAGTCCAAGGTTTATCTACAAAATTCGCGCTCCGAAAAAATAAAGACCAGCAATCGCTGACGGCTCGCTGTGCTTTGGAGGAATTTCCTTTCGGGGACGGCCCAATAGAACCCACGAGACCCAAATTCAGCCGTGACCCCCACACTGACTTGTCCTTCATTGCTGTCAGCGACCCTGCAGCTGCTCCTCTGGAACCGAAGAAGATCAAAATCGGAAGGCCACGTCGGAATCGCCCTTGGAAGAAGGCCACTCCAGCTCAGGTTAGTGTTTCGGGACTGTGTCGAACTCTCACTGAATTCCAAGTTCGAAAAATTCCGAAGTCCCGGCTCATTACTGTGATTCTAGGTGCCAAAATTACAGTTGATTTGTAACTCTGTTTCTGACGATTGACATCACATAGTCCAGCTCAGGTAGTTGTTATTGTTCTAGATTCTTGTAGAGAAAGAGAGACAAACCAGCCAGTGATCTGAATTCGTCACGCAAATAAATTAGTGATTATCTACCGTCTGGCTTCCTTTTTCTAAACGCAAAGACGCAAGTTTGGTTTCAAAGTCTCTAGAGACAGAATTCTGTCCAATTCGAGGACGTTACCCTCTCTCTTTTAGAACATCCATGCCCATCTGCGCTTCGAAGTTAAGTTGTCGTGGTACGGTGGAAATCGCTCATTTGGGAGGTTGGAAGTAAGCACATCATCTGTACTATATCTAAATTCTAGTACTATATCTGCACAACTGTTTGACTGTGACATCAAGCTGTCCAGATCAATATTTGAATCCAGATATTCTGTGTTCCGCTGTGAAGGCAATTGTGGGATCGATAGTCGGCGGCTTCTGGGCAGTGTTGGCACAAAAGGCGACAACCATAGGGTATGAACATCTCCAGGGCCACCCTGTAGCTCATGATCTGCCGATGGGGCTCACCACCAGTGTGAACTCGCTTTTTGTCTCTGCGGTGAGACTCTTGCTCGCTGCTCCAGCTCTTGTGTTCTGGATTCCAGGGTGGTGTAAATTCATTCTACACGTTCGAAATCCAAAAGTATTTTGCATTAAACAGCAGTGACCTGGAAGTGATCTACCAGTGGCAGACATTAACTCTCGTATGTGCAGGTGATCGGATTTGGAGGATTTGCTTCGTGTATGTTCGGGGTGAGCAGTTTTGGCCTCGCATTGTTGGCCCTCAAGCTTTTGACGGCACCTAAACCACCTGTACAATGAATGACGTCACCTGTACAGATTTTGATGGCGATGTTTATACCCTTTGCCACAACTTAATTGTAAGATAATTTGGCCGAGTGCTTGTATTTATACTGTGCCACCCCACGAACCCCGTCGATGCAGAAAGGCTGCTGCTGGCTTCTTCGTGCTGTTTCTTGCACTCCGCTGCTTAGATGCTCGTTCTGGTCATTTCAGCTTCCATGATTACAACATGGTAGCTACCAGTAGGAAAAGTCCACCCAGAACTTTTGCAGCAAAATAAAATATGATTTTAGAGCAAAAAAAGCTCGTGCGTCTCACTTCCAGTCTGGATCTCTTTTGGGTTCTCCATTTGAGAGAATGTATTACTCTGCAAGTCGAAATATCTCACTATCATGGAGCGTCGTCCTCTATCGTACTTGCGGTTGATGATCATCTCATCACCACGTATAGAGTGGTGATATGTGTTGCGTTGATGAACGAAGAATGAAGAATCTTGGGAATGCTAGATGCTTTGAGAAGATGATGATTGCTTCTTCTAGGTCCATGAATATTCTACATATATTTTGTTGCAACTGCGAGCTTTACTCATGAATTTTGTTTACATTTTCTGTGAGTGGAGAGGCTTGGGCACGAGACTGTTCATCGCTTACGTATCAAACCCAGAGTAGACCCCTTGATCTCTAAGCAGGCGTTTCTCTTCTTCTACGTAGTTTTTGGCCCTAGTGGCTTGCCCTAGATCTCTTTTCCTCTTTTCCTTCTGAGAGAATGACAGAGCTCTTTGTTCTGCTGCAGCATCCCTCTTCTGTTTCTTCAAAAAATTAGCTTCCGCAAGTGCTTGAGCAGCCATCTGCAGAAGAGGTCGCACTTGATTAGCAAGATAGAATTTGCCAAACAAGGACAGAATCTAGTCCGACATTTTCAGTATGAAGTCATCGTTATAAGTCAATCGCTGTGAGGATAGTGGTTCAGAATGTTTAATGTACAACAGCGTGTGAGTACCCACCGACAATCAAGATATGCATCTGGTAATCGAGATCTAGTGGAGACTAGATCTCGATGATTTGGCTAAGGTTCCAATGACAAGTTTACAGTACGTAACGGTGTACATGTATAGTTCGACTTCAAAGTTGGATGATACTTTCCGTGGAGACGTCACATGTTCAATCTTACGAGCAGGTTATGAAATACCTTTGGAGCTGAGTCGCTGACAATCTCTCGTGTAAGCTCTCTATCCTCAATGCCTTCTTCGGCCTTGTCTTCACTCTTTCTCTTCCCATTTGACCATGTCCAGTCCTGGTCTCCTGCTTCATTCTTGGGAGCGGGTACGTGCATAATAGATGGACCTCCTGAGTAGCCATGCCGGCTTAAAGCCTCAAAATCCAGCTCTGGCTTTTTCACCAGTTTGCTTCCCGTCTTCACTGCTTTCACAGATTCAGTACGAAGCAGATTGTGAGAAGAGACATGGGGACATTTTTAAGCTTAAGCATGATAATGATCTCTACTTTCGGATACACAGCAACAACATAAGAATCAAATGAGCAATTGACTACGATGACCCATACTGTGTGCTCTTTCAGCTAATTTTCTCATAGACGAATCTCCTAAAGAGGAGAAATCAAATGTAGTCTGTACACATTTTCAACTGAATGGTCTTACGGCTACTGCATTGGATTTTCTCTCAAGCTTCCTTCTACAACCAAATTTCAGGACAGCATTCCCACAAACAAGTATACGAACGAGGTCGGCGCGAGCGAGGTATGACGAAAAGACAATCAGCTAAGAGAGCTCTCATTCGGTGCTCCAACCCGAAGATGCAGAGAACCATGCATCTTATCTATGGTGTTTCTTCCAGCAAGGTGCAGAAACCTAAAAGGCGCGGACATTTCCTCTCGTAATTGGATGCCGATAATTTATGAGGCAGTAACATCGTTCGTAATTAAGTTATTGGTAGCTGGTTTCGTGAAGATAATTTGCTTATATCACTCCGAAGGCAACGAAATATGGATATTCCTACAAGAGTCAGCTGAGTGCGAAATTCTCGTGCAACCTGCAGATTGCTCGTCGGGTTTGTCCCAAAGTGAGGCAAAAGGTCTCAACCCTAAATTGCAATGTGGATATCTGTCAGATGATGCGATTACTTTGGGAGACCAGAAGCACAATGTGGCCATCATCTGTACTGATCTTGTCAGCTATGGGATACTTCCACTTCCAGCTTTTCTGCAGTTTCTTTATGAACAGAGTAAAATTTTCTGTCAGTTTCGGCTGTAATCCCTCATCATTGCGTTTCCCAAACTAGCAGCCCTGGGCCCGTGAGAAGAAATTGAGGAGATTGAGGAAATTGGTGACGCTGAGAGACCGGCATTGCAGATTCTATTCTGGGAGCTGCTGCGACGTCGGTAACATAAAGCGCAACCGAACCTGCGGCGACAGATTGATAAATCATGGCAGACTTTTATTCTCTCGCCGTGTTGTTACACCAAATGGTTCAGGCATCCCATTCAAGCCAAAACAATCTGAACGCTTCGGTATAAAAAGCGTCGAATGCGCAGGATTGGAACGAGTTAGGAAGCTCTGAGATGCTCGACAGAGAGAGAGAGAGAGACTTACGCGAAGCGCCATCGTCCTCGTGTTTCTCGTCACCGCCACTGCCACTCCGCCCGCCGTCCTCCTCCTCGGAATCGGATTCCTCATCGGAAGAGTCCTCGTCCGAAATTGCAGACAACGGATCCATCGCTCTCCACGCCATGCTTCTCAATGGAGATTGCCTCCAGTTCGGATTCCCGTCGAAGCTCGGCCCACGAAGCGATTCCACCTGCCACCCCCTCCTCCTTCTCCCCTGTCTCGACGCTCGATCGACAAACCCTACGCCCTACGCCCTCGGGCACCCCACGATTCTCAACACCACTCGAGGCACGCACCAAAACCTCGTCCAGGATTCCACTTCGCCGCCGAAGCCGAAGCCGAAGGCGAATCCCAATGGCAACGAAGCAAACGGATCACGACTGGAGCAAGACTCTCGAAAAGTTCGGACTCGGACGATTTCTCATTGGACGGACTTCGCTTCCCGCCCTGCTCTTCCGACAAGTGTCAACGGAGCTTGCAGAGCGTTGCTGCATCCGTACTCTATGGGCCGAGAAGACGAGAATCAGAACAGCTACTCGCCTACAGACTGCGAAGTCCTCATCCTACAGGTCGCAAGAATAACGACGACGATGGCAGCAGAAGAAGGTTCGACGCATCGAGAACCAGACCCGGAGACAAGTGGAGACCCGACGTTTGTGGAGTCGAGTCAAGAGGCTGAAGGTTGACTTTGTCAGATTGGACAGTACCGGTCGTTCGTGCCACTTGGACGGGGCAGCACCCTGATACCCCTCTTGGGAGGAAGGGAGGGAAGGAAGGAAGGAAGGAAGGAAGGCAACAGAATGTGGAGCGAATCGGATGGCCGACGCAAAAGTCCTGCTGCACATCTGCGCTTTCCACTGGACTGGATATCATGGATTCCAGTGGCCCATCTTCTGTTGCGAGAAAGGGAAGGGTGGTGGTCTGAAGGTGGCCCGAGGCTCCGTCATCCGTGCTCGGCCTATGGCAGAGTAGAGTAGAGTAGAGTAGAGGAGAGGAGAGATGGCCGACTCGAAGAGAATAATTCGAACGAGTTTTTTTTTTTAAATGAGGGAGATCGAGCGAGTGCTTGAGGGAGGGAGGGAGATGTGTTTATCGTAGAGCTCATGCACCTGAGCTTTGGATCTGATGGTGTGGAGTATGAGATCCTCGAGGACTGGGCTTCGAGAGATTGAAGGTCCGAAGATCAGAAGAGGGTGGAGCTGGAGGAGGGAGACATTGATGCATGCCAGTGAGTGAATGAGTGAGCGAGTGATCTTTGTCTGAATTGTCTGAATTAATCGGTTGGCAGCAAGCGAGTGGAGTGGGCTCGATGAGGAGGTTTGCGTTGACATCGCTGAGGAGGAATGCGAGATGCGAGGAAGTGGAGCGCATTCTCGTGGCGGCTCCGAACCATGTCCCGACTCCTGTTCGGCCTGTCTCGTCTTACTTCTCCTTTCCTGGTTCGTGTTCATCTTCTGCTCCTGAATCACTTGCAGCCTTTGCAGCCTTTGCAGCCAAGCCAATTGGTCGAACTCTCGTGCTGTGCATCCTGTGTGCAAAGCTCATTGTGCACCGGCCTCGCTGAATTCGCCTCCTGTCTCACACACAAGTTGAAATGTATTTGCTAGAAGCCGCATGCACAATCATCCAGATACATGTGAAAGGAGAGCATGCGAGATCTGTTGAATGTGCAACTCATATTGAATTTTGCGATGGAGGTAAGGTTCTGATGAGGGAGGAATTGTGTGGATTCAGTATACAAGCCATATTTACAGCGGACCTCCAGCTTCAGGGAATTCCATAGCTCCAAGTTTTCGAGTCAAATTGCTCTGGAGGAGCCACAGCAGCACAAGGCATCGGAAGTGGAAAGGATCAAGAATGCCCTGCCAGCCACAAGAGAAGGGCAGAAGGCTCGGGTCGTTGTGCTGGGGGCAGGGTGGGCTGCCTGTCGGCTCATGAAGGATCTCAACACCAAATTATACGATGTAGTGTGCATTTCTCCGCGGAATCACATGGTCTTCACTCCTCTGCTTGCATCCACTTGTGTCGGCACTCTGGAGTTCCGCTCCGTGGCCGAGCCCGTGCGAACAATTCAGCCTGCCACGGCCAAGGAGAAAGACTCCTACTTCTTCTTGGCCCATTGCACGCACATTGACACCGAAAACAGACAGGTACGCCAGCAGAGGAGAGCAAAGGTCCACTTCTACATTTGGCTGTATGTTTTTCTGTCCTGGAATTCTGTACTGAGACATTTTTTGATTGTGAAGGTAATTTGCAAAGCACTGGGGAAAGATGAGACGGCGTTCATGAAAGCTTCTGGAGATTTTGTGGTAGCTTATGACAAGTTGATCATCGCGTCCGGTGCCGAAGCTCTTACTCTTGGTATTGCTGGAGTTCCCAAACATGCCATCTTCCTTCGCGAGGTGAAAGATGCCAAGGCAATCCGGTCGAAGCTGCTACTCAATCTTGCTCTTGCTGAAATTCCTGGTGTGTTCTTTCTCTCAAACGCCCCCATCTCACAAAATATGTGTATCTCTTGGACCCAGCTTAGCCAGCCCTAGTTGATGTCAGCTTATTCAGTTCTAACTTCATAAGAGTCTTTTGATCACTCTGAGAGTTAATAGATGTTTTGGCCTTGGACCTGCTTGATCTCCCTCATTATCTGCATAGCTCTTAGCGGTCTGATTTCAATGCGTTTCGGTTATCTGACTGGAGCAAGTTGTGCATTTTACCAAAACCTGAAGTTTGCTCGAGAGGTAATCTCACCTAGAGCTAACCGTGTGCTTGAACTATTCCAAGGAGTGCAGGAGTTTCAGAAGAAGAGAAGACCAGAATATTGAACTGCGTCGTAGTCGGTGGGGGTCCCACAGGTGTGGAGTTCAGTGGCGAGCTCAGTGATTTCATTAAAAGGGACGTTCTCCAGAAATTCTCGCATATGAGGGGCAAAGTTCACGTCACACTTATTGAAGTATGTTCCCAACTCAGATTAAGTCATCGTTAAATTGCTAGTGTGTTTAAGCTTAGATCTGGTTCTGCTGCTTCAGATTTAGACTATGATCGCTAAGTGTATGTATAGCGGATATATCGCCATATGTGCACATTCAGAACAGTAAGGGATTCTTTAAGTAGATCCGTTTGAAAATAATCAAGTGAGAAGTCCAGTTTATCGGATATTATAGGAATATTATGTAATTCAGAGGCGATAGATCGTGAGCACTGAGATGTTCGAAAGCCTAATATAGATTACGATTCTACCATCTGACGTTCTGTTGTTTCTAAACGTGCTGCATGCTAACTTCTGCTGGGTTCGCATGAGCAGGCTAATGAAATTTTATCCTCTTTCGATCTTCGATTGAGGCAATATGCAACAAGTCACCTTGAGAAGGTGAGGATCTCTTTTCCAGTTAGGGTTGCTAATGAGATGATTTCTGCAATGGTGTTTTGCCAATTGTGGTGGAAGAACAAGTTGTGAGAAGGAGGACGCTCCAAGTGCTGACATGACGCGTGATTGCAGGCAGGAGTCAGGCTGGTTAAAGGGATGGTCAAGGATGTCGATGCCGAAAAGATTACATTGAGTGACGGGTCTGAGGTTCCATATGGCCTTTTGGTTTGGTCGACAGGTGTAGGCCCATCAGCGTTTGTCAAGTCTTTACCTTTTCAGAAGTCACCCGGTGGCAGGTGCCTATCTCAACCTTCATCCAAAAGTCGCGCTCATGCCTCCAGTAGAGGTTGAGGTGTCTGGTCATCTCTGGAAAGTTGGACATTTTAATTGTGTTTGGTGGAATGCATAGATGCTCAATAGCTATTTCAGCCTACTGACTGCACTGGCCGGAAATCTTGGTCAACAAGATAAATCCTTGGTCTACAGTGGGTTTACAGATCAGAGTAGATAGTCGTGTCAAATGTCGGTGAGAAGGATGCGATAAAATTATGCAAGTTATTTGATCGTTTTAGGTGCATTACATGTTGTGTTACGATTTTATTTGATCTGAACCATGATTCTTGCAGAATTGGTGTGGATGAGTATCTTCGAGTTCCTGGATATGAAGATGTGTACGCTATAGGCGATTGCGCAGGTTACCTTGAGAGTACAGGAAAGCAAGTGCTGCCTGCTTTAGCTCAGGTGCGTTAGGTTTTCTATCTATGTAGGTGTTTCTAGGTTGCTCGTAGTTTTATCAAAATATATCTTTGAAGTCATGTCAAGCGTACTGCAGTGAGAGCTACTTGGCTGGAATTTTCGGCCTCTAGGAAAAATGTAGATCATATATTCTTCGGCTTTTCTAACGAGGTCAACTTTCTGTCATTCTGAAAGTTCTGCTTCTAAGGTACCACTTTCAAACACATCTGCCATTTGCGAATGAACTCGTAAGAACTAATCTTGATTAACAAATTTTCAGTCTGATAGACTACAAATCACTAGCAGCCCTCAATTTTCAGCTGGACTCACCACTCGAGACATCCTTTTTCAGGTTGCAGAACGAGAAGGAAAGTATTTGGCAAGAGTTTTGAACGAATTTGGAAAACACGGGGCAGGTCGTGCAGGCGCTAAACTTGACTCAGCGGCAATCAAGCCGTTTATATACAGGCATCTAGGAAGCATGGCTTCTGTGGGTAGCTACAAAGCGTTGGTGGATCTTCGTGATACGAAGGTGAGCAAGCTGGCATTTTTTTTTTAAGTGCATCGAGATATGCTCATTCGTATGCCTTCAAATCACGTCCTTCGAACAAGCAGCTTGTTTTAAAAAAAAGGACAAAAGTCCAGTGTCATCATGTTGCTGATACACATTCAGAGTCACTTTGACTCAACGGACCTCAAGTCTTTTTGACTCTCTGATATCTTTCTTAGAGCTCACTCCGTTAGTTAGATACAGTTCTCAGATAAATTTCCACATAAATCATTCTTATCTGCTTCTCTCGGCTCATAATGTTTTCCTGCTGTCATGCATTAGATCTGTAATGATATCTCGCCCTTATGATCTTTAGATTGTCTAGAATTCTCGTGGAAGTTGTAGGTCACGGCCGATTACTGAACTGATACGTTCCTTTGGACGCATATATCAGAAAGCAAGCAAGGGAGTTTCTATGGCAGGATTTTTGAGCTGGATTGTGTGGCGATCGGCATACTTAACCCGAGTCGTGAGCTGGAGAAATCGTATTTACGTTGCTCTCAACTGGACTACAACTCTAATCTTCGGTCGAGATATTACACGCATTTAAGGACCTTCTGTGATGCACTCTACTGAGGTCGGCTTGACATCTGTGGGAGTATTTCGTTGAAGGGATTGATCAGATTTTGTTCTCCACACATCATACCTGATATAAACAGTACATCAAACATACAGGTTCATCATGTAAGCAGGTAAGTTAGTTTGATCTACCAACGACACACCAGTGTAAGTTAAAACGGTGAGATAGTGTAACTGTGTATCTTCACTTGTAAAGCATCTTTGTCAATTTTGGAACCTTGTGCCATACATTTAGAGGAGACCACTGTCGTCCTAAAATCGGATGGCAACGTTGTTGGGAGGCACTTTTCAAGTGCCCAGCTTCGTTCTACACATGAACTTGTTGATATATGACTAGGACCAGTATTCCTGTCTCGGGCTGAAGTCTATCAACTAGCTACACGTAAACAAACCAATAAAAGGTCCATACACAGCAATTTTACATGACATTACAGAAAACGCAAAGTTCACTCACTCTACTATTGGCGTGTACAAATTTCCTGAGTTTTGGACCATCATTAGACTCTCAAGAAGTATATCCCTGACGAAAATTCCTCAACCACTTGGTAGATAAAGTGACGATATGTGTTCAAGTCTAGTAGATCCAGATATTGAATCTACTAGACATGAACACATATCTTCACATAGATCCCAACACGAGAATTCCCCAAGTCAAGGAACGTAATTATCTTCAAGTATGCTTCCAGATTGCCATTGAACATGTTAAACAATAAAGTGCTTACAATATACAATACTAACTTAAGGTATGTCATGCTCTCAATTTACAAAACTGTGAAAGCCTCAATTTGGTCAAAATTTACACTTTTTTTGTCATTCTCACCAAGTATGTAGCAACATCCCTAGTTTTGAGAATGCGGCGGTGGATTAGCAGATATGTCAATCAGTATGATTTCCGCATTATTCATCGTTTGCACTATAATCTTTGGTAAGGCTTACAAACCTTGTAGGAGATCTAGGAATAACCGGCAGAGTTCAAAGTGGGGTTAGGTCAAATCTTAGATCAAATCTATTTTACTTTGATTTACTGCCATGAAGATGAGACTAGTATTTCTATATTCGTTTATAGAATACATAATTTATTAAAACATTTTGGTCATGAAATTTTAATTTTTGAGGTTTTCAACATTTTTGGTAGCTTTGACGGAGTTGATAATGCAAAGTGTTCAAGACGTTGATTAAAGGAATTTTGTGGTGGCAACTAAAAAAAAGAAGCTCTTGTAAACTAAATGTCATCAACTTTTGAGTTGATGACATCTAGTTTATTAACTTTACACCTTTCAATTGCGAAAGTGTTACACAATATCTAGGTTTTATACGACTTAATCAAAGTTTTATTTCTTTAGAATCTAAGCTTTGATAAAAAAATAGAAAAATTTCACTGTTCACTCAAATCTTATAAAATTATTTTAATTTACTGTCAAATATAATCATCATAACTAAAATTATTCATATTTAGATAAATTTAGTCATAATTAACTAAATTTAATTATAAAAAAATACATAAAACAAATTAATCATCATTAACTCGTTGTCTAATTTTACTATTTCTTCACATACCACAACCGGTCTTACGAGTCATGGTACTTTGGCACTTTGCAAATTACTGATCCAGTCATCTCATCTCCTATTTGCTACCCTACCGTTGCATCCTATTTGATTTCCTCACTCCTAGCAAACCAGCCATTATTTTATGCACGTCGTGAAAGTAATTCCAGCACAGCTTTCACATCGTAAATAGCTATGAAATGTCAATTGCTCCTTTCAATATGGAATATAGCATACACACAACCAACGTCACAACGACGACGTCTTAATTCCCATTGCTACTCTGCGTGCCGTGATTGTTTTTGATGTTTAAAGCAGTTGCTAGAAGATTAAATTGCATGTGATTAGAGAACTAGCACGAACGAATGAGAGTGCACACAAAAGAATAAAGCTAACGATCCGACGATCCACTGCAGCAGTCGTGCAAGGAGCCGAGCAAATCCAATCCGGCAGCAAAAGCGATGAAATTCAAATCCATTCAATGACAATTTGAGTTGCATTCTCACAACTTCAAACTAAACAAAAATTGACTTGCTTAAAAGTTACAAGTTAACTCTGATAACAATTGTAGAAACTCGCAAATTTTTTGGCGGACTTTTACGTAAAAAAATTTGCACAAGAAAACATGAAAAGATAATGTGATTCAACTGTATACTATGTTCATAAGAACACTAAATTTATTGATGATGTTTGAGGCAACGAGCTTGTAATCACAGGCAAAATGAGTCTACAAACAACCAACTAAATCCTGACAATTAACCAATGTGTGTTACAATATGATAAATTATGATGCAATTCTTCACTAGAACTATTATAAAACCATTAGAGTATAAATAACAGATGACCTCACAAATTTCAATTTGCTAGTCTAAATCTTTGATAAATTGTTCCAACTAACAAATCTAAATCATACTTTAATAAACAAACAAACGTTTGTTTACTGACGTAAAATTTATAAGTAATCTTCTACAGATGAATTTAATATATTCTATTTTAATCTTGAGTTTATCCACATATATATTAATCTAGAATTTTTACAATTTAGGCTTGATAATATATTTTCTAATAAATATAAAAAATTTCTTCTTTAAAATTAATAATTCTTTTTAGAAAAAATTTAATATTTTTAACTCTTTATAGGATTTTGGTAGTATTTATTTTTTATATATAATATCAAAATCTTTGAAACAATATTTTTTAGCCTATAAATATATAATAAAAAATGACAAGTCTAAAATACTGAATGTTTGATTTACACTTGAATTTAAAATATGGAGAAAAGTGAATGATCTGATTTACTTGGCGATGCTTTAAAATTGAAAAATAAAAATAATAACTAGACACAATGATGGTTTATATCACTTTGAATGATTGAAAACTTTTTCATTCAAACTTGTTTACAAAATGGAACTTTGTCTCCAAAGAATTGAATTGGATATAAATTGATAACTAAAATTCGGAATCTAAAGTGAAGTTTCAAGATTACATTGATGTCACTACAATAGTTTATAAGTATAATTTCTGTTAGAGATGTATATTAAAAAAAACTTGAAAGAAAGTTTGGATATTATAATATTCGTTTCTGTAGATTTTGAATCAAATGGAGCAAAAATCGAAAATGTGTTGTAGATTCTGTTAATGGTCATTTACAAATTATTGTGATTTATTATATAATTTGAGATTTTAGTTCAAAAATTGAGAGTCAAATAATGGTAAAATATTTTTTAGAAGCAATATAAAACATAGTGAATCTTTCTCAAGTTGGGACAAAGTAGTATGGTACAATCACTTATTGTTATGAACTTTGCATGCTAGAGTTTTATTGAACATTGTTTGATGTAAGATAATGAATAGAAAGATTGAAGTAAATAAATCAACAAAGTATGCTTAGAACAAAGTATTGTCTATGCCCCAACACATCATAATATTTGTGGAAGTAATCACAGATAAATAAAACATGATGTGTATTTTTTTTTCTACTGCAACTGGACTTACAGATTTCAAGGAGAGATTTGCTTGATGGGACCCCTGAGGAAAATAATTTGCTTGATGGGATCCCTCAGGTTTAGTTTTACCCGATGGGACCCCAACGACGGTGTGCCGTCGGACATAGTTCTTGTAACTACGATTACTACTAGTTACAATGCGGGAATTACAATCAGAGATCAATCCTTGATTATAATTTCTGGTGGATTATCACGGGGACAAAGATCGATTTTGCTCGAAGTGCAATTTGTTGTGCTTCAATTCTTCCAACCGCAAAGATTCGCGGATTTCTCTATTGACTCCCACCTGCACACTCCTTCCGTAACCCTGTTTAAGTCTCGCGATCACCCATTTGTGATGAACAAATAAACTCCGGATGAACATTTCTTTGCTCGTCTCCTTGGAGAGTGGCCGGATAAAGAATGACAACATAAAAACAAGTGAGTGTGATGGAATGCGAAGTCCACTCTGTCTGCGGGTGCGGTGGACTAGTTGCACTCTCTCTAGTTGTTATTAGAACATGGGTGACGGTGCATCGTTCATGGGGTCCCATCGAGTAAAATGAAACCTGAAGTGTCCCATCAAGCAAATTACTTTCCGCAGGGGTCCCATCAAGCAAATCTCTCAGATTTCAAGTGAAACTCATAAGAGGAACATTAGTAAGAGATCATTCCAGTATTAGATTTATTGGGACAATTTCATGTGCAAGCAATTCCTCGCGATTTCCACATAATTATCAGAAAATATACAGACATATCCTAACGCACCTCCACTTCTTTTTATCCGGCAGACAGCCTTATGTTGGACTGAGATGGATAGTGCTTCCCTGCTAACAATAAGTTTTACGATTCACTTCCAGTTTATGTCCTTTATCTCTTGGTACTGTACAGTTAAGCGGGAGGCTCATCGATCCGTCCCCGCTTCTGACTCCTACAAATTTCATTCGTTTTCATACGGGGAATTAAACCTGTACATTTTGAGCTTCAAACCTCTGTAGTCGCTTCCTTGGTCTTAAATGCTTCACTAATCATCACGGCCGTTTACCCCCTCACAACGAGATTCTGAGCCAGTTGAGACGGCTAGAATCAAAGCACGTACATAAGAATGTAATCAAAGAAGCTCTTGTCGATGGGATACTGGGGAAAACTGCAAAGACTTTGATACAATGAAGAAAGACTAAAGTGTTCCATGCTTGCTTTTGGAACCACAAACGCGAGAATGATCCTAAGATACTGAATAATGCAGTGAATGCAGCGAGAGGTATGCACTCTCCAAAACCGTTATCTTCGAAACGCAGGTTTCGATACAACTCAGACTTACGTGACAACGATAATGTAATCCTAAACCTTTACTGCTCATCTTCTAGTAAAATCAAAAGATGAAATCTAAAATTGAAACGCAATTGCTCCTGTACAATCTTGGAGGGAACGTGTGTTGATTTCTCGTGTGACTAGAGAATATTATTTGATACATGCCAGCATGGACTACCATGAAGGAGAAGGACGAGCCCCTAACTCAGGCTGGCACAACAATTGCTGTTCTCGTGTGTAAACTATGACAATTTGAAGCCGTGTTCTCATGTACATTCTCAGCTGGACGGAGGAGCTATGTTGTTGTTACTTCCTGAGCCAATTCATTCGTGTTTGATCTCCGAACATACGTGGAGAAGATTTCTTTCTACTCCCCGGGCATATCTCAGACTCGTCAAAAGAGTAAGCCTTTAAAGTCTAAAAACCTGACTATGTTTGCTATGTTATCTAACGTGAAACAGCTGCAAGCTTTAAGTGCACGTGCAAGATGGCTTCGGAAGTAACTCTCACAACTTGGTCATACTTTTGGAAGGGAGGGCAAATAAGAGATAAGGTGCGATAACTTCTCGGCAAAAATGTTTTAGGGAGCCATTAGTCCGTCAATCGTGTACGAGAGAGAGCTCGCCCAGTCAGCCTTAAATAGGAGCGTATGCAGTGTGTCCATGATATTAAGCTCGGGGTCCAATTTCCGTTGCCAACCCTGCACGTAACATAGTCATCACTGTCAAGTATGTGTGGCGCAAACCATCTACAGAAATCTTCAGCTAAAAGTTTCAAGGTCAACAAGCACATACATCAGTCCTAAACCACCAAAGAATGATGATTTCAAAAGGTACATAAGAAAACTAACACTCACCTCCAGGACAAGAGTTGTCACTATCACAGTGCAAACATCACCGTCAATGTTGACTTTGTGTCTTCGCACCTGCTCCAGAAGCTCTTGCATGCAATCTCCTGCATGCAATGCATCTCCACTGGTGCTTTGCCAGTAACGAAATACATTTTCTACCTCCTGCAACAGAAATGTCATCTTCAAGGTTTAGAAGAAAAAACTGGCGCTGAAGCAGACTCTTCTTCTATTTTGTGCCGACTCAGCCTTTTACATCTACAGTCTCCCAACAAAGGACAGCTTCTCACCTCAAGTGATTGGCGTGAATTTAAGCCACTGAATGCTTATCCCATCTCAATACGCGAAATTCACTAATGACCGTGGGATTGCCACAAAGGTTCAGTGTATAGCAACTTACAGTTTTGAAAGCTTCGGGATTTGGACAGCTCTGCGATCGAGAAAACTGTAGAGTGCATTCTGCAGCTTTGCGACCATCTTTCAGAGCCACGGCTTTAAAAAACTCCAGAAGAGTTCCACGATCCCTCTGAGAGAGCTCGGCTGTCATCCCAACATCTAACAATATCACATGGGGACGCCACCTGAACAAGCTTTTGGCAGCGGCACCGTCTTTGACACGAACCAAGATATTCCCCGGATGCATGTCGGCATGTATGAAGTTGTCCACCTGTAAGAGTTCGTTCAGTTTCAAGTATAAAGTTGTAGTAAAAAACATGCATGAAGATCGTACTTAAATGGGGTGCATTAGGAAAATCCAAGGATCGATATACAAAAACAGACGCGGGCTCCATCTCCTGCTCTATGTGAAGATCTCTTGATTCCAAAAACAAACACGTTTCACCAGGTGCAGGTAAAAATTTCCAAACAAGCTAGTTCACCGGAGAAAAAACAAGTTAAAACGACAAAAGCTGTACGAGTTGGTAATTGCCTGTTACAGCGTGTAGACCAGAGACCCATAAAGACACAAACAAACACGTTTCACCAAGTGCAGGTAAAGATCGCCAAACAAGCTAGTTCACCGGAGAAAGAGCAAGTTAAAACGACACAAACTGTACGAGTTGGTAATTGCCTGTTACAGCGTGTAGACCAGAGACCCATAAAGACACAATGTCACGATCCGGCAGTCACCTGATAATGAAACATAATAAACACAACCACATTGCTAGCAAAAGTACGGATCAAATTTCAAGTTTCTCTAGAGGTGCAAGGATCAGCTGCGAAAAAACGTTATATCCTAGCATATTCAGCCATGAATGCAGAACGTCTTACCAAGAGCATCTTCAAAAGGGTGTGAGTGCCGATGAGAGCTAACGCACTGTTTAGGCGTGTTTTCTCTGGCTTCTCGACATACCGAGAAACACTTTCTCCCTGCTCATAAGTTTCCACCAACACGGCAGGATGTACCAAGGGATACAACGGCTTAGGGAAAGAAACGTCTTTCCACCTCCTGAAATTGTAGATGAATCGACTCAGATGTGCAGCCTCTCTGGCCAAATCCACCTGGGTCAACATAAAAACGGCAAACTGTTGCACACTCTCGTCCAGCCGCAACCAACTCAACCCCGGTAAAAACGTGGACACTTTGGCTACCCAGTTGATTATAGTGAAGTCCCGACGAATGACTTCACTTACGCCTGGATGCCTCACCTTCACAGCAACTGTCATGGGCTTGGACTTTTGTCCCGGATGTCTAAATCTCAGAACCGCTCTGTGAACCTGGGCAATGCTACCAGAAGCCACAGGCTCCTCCTCAAAATTCTCAAAAATCTCATCCAGCTTTCGTCCGAAGGCACTCTCTACTGTCTTTCGAGTCTGAGCAAAATTATGGGCTGGTGCTTTCGAGTGGAGTTTAGACAAGTACGCGCACAGATCCCTTGGAAAAAGATCTGGCCTGGTAGCAGCCCATTGTCCCCACTTGATAAAAGCGGCCCCAGCCAGTTCTAAAGTGTGATGAACAAGCTCTAGCCAAGCCGTGCGGAATGAAGGTCCCAAATAATCGGCGAAGGGCGCCATAACCAACGCCGGTGTAAACAGAGCCGCTAGATACGCAGCTCTGACAATCAAAATCAATCCTTCAATCAAAGACAGTAACAATGCAACAAAAAAAAATGGGGTGATCGACCTCTCCTTATGATGTCCATTACTTCCAGGAATTTGTAAAGTCTCCGCAGCACTTTGATGCAACCATGTAGCTTTCCCCAAAACCACTGCTAGAGTCCGAGGAACGACTTGATATCGCACACAGGCAAGGCTCGTCGCCTTCAGTACCTTGCCCAAGGAAGGAAACGCCATGTTTTGCAAATAACCTCGCTCTGCTAATAATTGCCATGCTATTTGGCCCTGTGATTTCACATCTGCTCTGACAGCTGCAACGGACTCCCCGGTCACCTTCAAAGTTTGCCTAATCTCAAGAATTGATTTTCGCCCTTGTTTGGAGACTGCCAAAAGTAATCCTTCCACTACAGTAGAATTCTTCATCCCACTCCTAATAGAGGCCGTATGAAAGGCCTCCCTGGAATTGAGATTCCGCCACGGATTTCTACATAATCTACTTGTGGTTGTAATCTGACGACATTCCCTTTTGATAGAATGCCCATGTAAGTTTGCACCAAATACATACGCCTTACTGCGAGTTCCATCGTGCCTGCAAAAGCGATCATTCACAGATCATGAAAATTGCCCCAAAAAAATCACTTTTAGACGAACACAGATGGGACAGCGCTCATGGAAACGCGCCACATGAGTAAAATAGAATCTTGTGAGAAACAGAGGAAAATATAATGCACTAATTGAAACTCTAGGGCACAGGGCCAAAAATCCGATCTCGGTCTGTGAATTGGCTGATCATGAACTGCCAGTGAGTTTACCGGTGTAAAAGATGCTGGAAATCGTTTGATATCCTTCGCCTGCAGGCGGTCAGCAACAAAGCACTCGCCATAATCCTCCGCCTGCTGTGACCAACGCAATTTTTCCGAAGCTTCGGTGCTTATTATCCATCCTGAGGTCTTTGAACCTCCGTGCTCCTATTCATGTGTGCAAGATCACGTTCCAGCTCCTTCTCGTCTTCTAAATCTGTGAAAGCTGTGGCCACAGATTACTTTCTCATCCGAGTACTTCGATTACGCTGCATGAAAATGGAGGCCGTGATGACACAGCAATACAAAGGCCTAACCCCTCTCAAAATCTCAAAATTGCCGAGAGTCCAGAAATGCAATCCTGCTGGAGACCACGAAAGCACCCGTAAGCACTTCAATGCAAGCTCCACCGATCACCCGAAAGAACAAGCAGCGCCACAAGGGCAATACACCTTTATCTTCAAACCTCAAACCCCCAACTCAGACGCCATGCTAACATGCCAGCCATCCAGAAATCAAGCTCAAAACATTCGGAAATGTGAATCTACGACGGTAATCGAAACCACAAAATTCGCAGTCAAAACCAGCTTCAAGATCTGCTCCGCACACTGGGGTGACAGAACTCCATCCACAACATTCACCGCCAATCAGGCAACAATACACCACATTCCGAGACTCCTCTTCCTCTTCATTTCTTTCTTCCCCTCTTTCCACCTCCTGCCTCTCTGTCCCTCACTATGACTCACTTCTACCACTCCGATCAAAACATTCCAATTTCACGCGGGATGCAGATGTGTTCACTTGCAAGGAGATGCTCAACCCTACCTCCTCCCGTGCTCGCTGGGCTGGACTGTGCTCGGCTGATCAAACGGGCGATTCGATCACAATCCTCACGTTTTCTCCAACGTAAGACGCTGACCAGGGCAGAGATCGATTACCATCTCTCACTACTTCACACCCGGAACAAAGAAGAGCAGGTCTCGTGGCCCTGTACATCGCCACGCAAGAAATCAAAAGGCAGTCGTGACTTTAGGGTTGGTGATTCTCATCGTCCCTCTCGTTCGCTCGCTGCTGTCAGCACACTAGCAGCGCTCTTGCCAACTTTAGCTAGAATCTTGCCCAGCAGGTGACAGCCCTCACTTAATCTCTAAACTCTCTCACTTAATCACTCCCAGACCATAATCAACCCGTAATAATCCCGGATTACTGCCCCTCCCACGGCAGTCCACGTCAGTAATCAGTCCATCAGCACTACTCGGGTCACGATGCGATACGACGCACGGATTTGCTCGGACGGAGCTTTTCTTAGTTAATCGCGAGCTGGAGGGGAGGGCGACGTGGGCGGAGAGGTCGCGGTTGTGCATGCCGTGCGACCGGCAGGTGCCAGCGGGAGGACAAGTCGACTGCGTCCCGGCCACCGCCTCTGGGAGGGAGGGATCATTGACCAACTCGACTGGTGGCGGAGCATGGGACTGTGGAGGGTGTCGCTTTGTCAGCCTACGTGGCCTTCGGGCTGACGTGGGATCCTAGTCATCGGCGAGAGAGGTGATGGTTCTTCGCGTACTTTTGACTTGAGAGTTCGTGGCTTTATGAAAAGGGCTCTCGTTGTGATGCTACGTGTCGTGACACCTGACGCCCAGCGGGATCGACGACGCGCCAGCTCCGTGGCAAGCCATCCATGCCTGCTTTGCCCGGCTCGGCTCCGCTCTGTCAGCGAGCCAGTGAGACATGGCGGTCTGTCTGCTCGTCGATGGCCCCAGCGATCGAGGGTTCGGATAGGATTCGTGCTCGGTTGCTCGAGTGGAGTGAGGGATTGATTAATCGGTCGAGGGAATGTTTGCTAAGAGAAGGCAGTCGGTCGGTCAGGTCAGGTCATATCAGCCTGCTACCATCTGGCCAATTTTACAAGCCATCAACCAAATTCCCACTGGCCGCAACTCTCCGAAGTCGACTTCGCTTCGTAGGAACGCTTGAAGAGCTCCGGGACGACGCGAGCTCGAACTCTCGAGGCGAATGTCTCGCCGTACGCAAAAGCATCGAGAAATGTGTTTCATTGATTTGACGCCAAAACCATCCGTTTTAACATACTTCACGCAGTTCTCAGTCAGCCCATCCATGGCAACATCGAGCCATTAGTACACGTACTGCGCACCGACAGACGCCCGCTAGCCGACGCAAAATAAAGAAAACCTTCGATGGCGCATCTGCGGCCATCTTCACCTGCGGCCGAGACCGATAATAATTGCCGACCTCCTTCCAGAACAGAAACCCTCGATTGGCTCGTGCTCGTGATGTTGAGCTCGTTTAAATAGGGTTTGCAGCGAATACGAGACGACAGAGAGAGGGAGGGAGGGAATGTGAGAGGCTGACGAGGCAAGTGGTGAAGAGGACGAAGGTGACGGGGCAGGGGACGAGGCGCAAGGGCTCGGGCGGAGGTGCAGCAGGTCTAGTCTAGAGAGGAGAGGGATGGACACACGTGACCGACACGGCACATTGTGTTGGGCATGCGTGGAGGCCCGGGACGCTTGCGTGTGAGCGCTCGGCTGTCGGCGGGAACTCAGGGCTGTCGCTCCACCTCAGGCGGCAGGGTGCCATGTCTGACCGAGCCGCGGAGGATGTCGAGGCGTCGTCGTGTGTGGGCGTCGTCGGCTCGCCCTCGGCCCTGTGACGTGAAGCCCGCGACGCGTGCTTCCCCGAGCTCGGCCTCAGCCAGGCCTCCGGCTTGTCGGGAGCCATTCGCCCGTCGCCAGTCGTTCCTTCTTGCTCGTTGTATGGCTTCCATGTCGTGAATTCGCGTGTCCCGGGCGTCGAATTGGAGCCTCGCAGGGTGTCAGCGGCATTGCAGTCCTTTGCCTTCGGGCCCAGACGAGCGAGACGGAAGGGCTGCCCTTAAATAGCGGATCTTCGTCGGCAATTCTCGTACTCTCGCGAGCTCTGTCATGATCCCACGATTCTGCTTGAGTGCGGAGCACCGGGCTCATTCCAAGAAGCCTGTAGCGGTGGGAATCAATTGAATTGGAATCCAGACTCCGTAGTTGGGTTCAATAGCAGAGCTCGTCAGGGGCGCATACTGGGAAGGTCTCGGGTGAGGGTGAGTGGTGGGGGAGATTAAGGATAAGCTTGTTCGCGGAGGCGGAGGAGAGGAGGAAGGGGAGTAGATTGAAGATGAGTATAGTGATGGCAAATTGGTTTGCTCCTCCTAGTGCCGGCTTGAGTCTGGGGACTTACTTGCCTTCTGTGATGCCTATCGAGTGCGGAGGGAGCAGAAAGGTTGCAGAGCGCGTAATGACGAAGCTCCAGAGAACTCGCGAGGACCCGCGTGCTGTTGGAGGGGCTCTGAGAAGACTGAACAACCATTCGAAGATGATGCAGATTCAAATCTTAGAGCATCTTGTCGATGAGCAGGACTGGCAGCTGGCCCTCCCGGTATTTCGCTTGCACTTATCCCCGTTTGTCAAAATCGAATTTGAGTCCCACTTCTTGACTTGCTCTTGTTTGGATCAGCATCTTTTTGTACTCCCTCCAGTCCCATTGAAAAACATTGCGCGTTCATGAGAGAGGGAGGGGCAAATCCTGCACACCAATCTTCATTCAGTGCCCGCTGATCAACGTAGACGTAAAGGGAATTCTTTTCCTGAAGTCGCATCCTCCATTTGTGCAACACTCATACTTTTGCACTTACCAACCTGATGTTTACTTGCTTGGCCCATTTTTACCGAGAGGCCTGGAAAAAAGACTTCGTGCATATATGGAGTCTTCAAAAGCCCGTGCTTGAAGTTAAAGCTCGTACAGTAAGAATATCTGCTGAGTAATCTGCCTCATTTTGGTCGAGTTGCCTGTGTTGCTCCTGGATTTGAAGCTCAGTCCAATGTTATATGACTTCTCGCGTCGTATTCGGAAGCTTCCGTTGTACTCGAACTGAGAGTAGCCCTGCGGTAAATGGTTTGTTCATAGGCAACGTTTGAAGACGGAAAAAAAAGCAACGAACTGAAACGAACTTTTTGTTGAGTCCCTTCATCACATCCCCACACCCCTCATCTATCGCCTCGTGAATCTTTGTTCAGAGACCACTATGACCTTCCTTGAGTCGTTCAATCCGGTTGTAAATTCAGTGTGGGTCAGTGGACTGTTTGTGGATCAGACGGAAGTTTGTCTTTCCTCTAAATTGTTTCCGAAGAGTGGCCAGGACCTGACGTACCCAAAAGAATATACATGTCATTTTTCGGTCTTCTCATAAACGCCCGCCAGAGTTTTCTATTGTTGGGAGCACACACCATTACCTTCGTTGAGTAGCTTGAGATTCCCCTTGGTAGCCACTGATGCAACTAGAGGAGGCGGAACGGAACGAACTTTCAAAAGTTTGCGGATCGGTGGTAAGAATGTGGTTTCATATATTAGGAAAGCAACAAGGACCCTTGTCTTCCGTGTTCCTTGGTCCGTTGTAACAACTGCCGCATCTTGGTGTGGATTTCAAGTTCTGCTCATCTCACCTCCCCCTGTCTAATTCGGTGTGGTCTTGGTGTTTCGACACGATCTTCAGATGTACAAGTCCTTGAGGGAAAAGGAGTGGTTCCAGTGGAATCCGAGTCTGCATGCGAAGATGGTAGCCTTGCTTGCAACAGCGCAACAATCTCAAGAAATGGAGAGTCTGATACTGGAAACACCAGAAAACTTGACAGTCAGGGACAGATTGAACTTGCAGGTATCTCTAATAGAAAACTTTGGGAAGCGTGGTCTCCTCGACCATGCCCTGGTCATCTTTCAAGAACTTCAGTTTCTTCCATTCCCAAGTGCCGGACACTCGAGTTATCGAGCATTGGTTCGGGCTTACGTACACGCAGGATTACCTCATGAAGCCCACGTATTCCTGTCGGAGATGAAAAGGGAGGGGTTCAAAGCGTCGTTGGATGATTACAAGACGCTGCTGTATGCCTACGGAAGAGACGGATATCTTGCAGAAATGGAAAAGATAGTGGAGGAGATCAGCACTTCGGGCCTGAAAATGGATAAGACAGGTTACAACATGATGCTATCTGCTTACGGCCAAGCCAGGAAGTTCGATTTAGTTCTCGAAACCCTCGAGAAAATGAGAAGAATGAACATCTCTTGCTCTGTCAACTCGCGAAATGCCATCAGCAAGTCATGTCCCAGCATAAGCTCCCTCTTCGCCGAGCTGGAAGCTATGCCGGCCAACTCTGCATCTTTGTGCAGTGAGCTGGAACTTCGGGAGGTTTCCGGAGGAGAACTGGCGGTTATAAAAGAATTACTTATCCTCGGAGTACCTGCGGATTGCGTCAAATACTCGGAGGATGCCTGGGAGCTGGATTTGCATCACATGTTCATGGGAACTGCCAACATTGCTCTGTTTCTCTGGCTCCAGCAACTTAAAGCGAGGTGCATGGGAGGTGTGAAGTTCCCTGTGGAGGTGAGGGTCGTAACTGGATGGGGGAAGCACAGCGACGTCGAAGGCAAATCTGTTGTCAAGCAAAACGTCGCAGAATTTTTAGAAAGGTTAAAGTCGCCATTCAGAGTTGACAGCCAGAACCGAGGAGTAATGACTGCCCGTGGAAGTTCCCTGCAAGCTTGGCTGAATGCTCTCTTTCAGTCATGATTTCGGCGACATATGGGCTCACTGACTGAAGTCATTGCCATCGCGGAATCTCGAATAGCCTTTATTAGAGATACCTGCAAGTTCGGTCTGTCCCTTTCTGTTAAGTTTTCCGCTGCCTTCCAAGTCTTCTGCTGTCAAAAGCCGTCAGTGCTTGGCATTGCCGGTGGAACACTCTTTCTCAGCCGCGACGTTCAATTCCTCTGCAGCGTGTTTTGCACACGAGCTGCCACACCTACCTCCACAAACCAAAGCAAAGCCATCATGTGTAGAATAGTAAGGCCAAGTGTAAATAGGTTCTCTCATCCAAAGTTTGTGCAGTAATTCAAGTCACGTGTAAATACTTCATTCGAGTCTAGTTCGCAGGAAGCTATGGTACCTTACTGTAGGTTAGTGAAAGACCTTGATTTTAGACTCCCATTGCTACCCTTCCCGGAGGCTTTCGTTTATATTTAAGAACAAAGCAGACCGAAGGTTCGGAGATGTACATGTACATCACCTGTACGTACTTCTTCAGGAGGCACCACCGTCTGCCTTGACTAGAACTCAGGTAGGGTCAGTGTTGCAAACTATGTTTGCCACTCGTACTCGTTCCATCTTGCAAAGCTTTAGTATCAGGCCTGCTTGGATGTTGATGTAGATCATATTTTTCTTGCTGATTAGCAGGGCTTGTAAAATAGCGACCAAAGCAATTCACTAGCATCTTCATCAAATGAAGTTTATCCTGTTGATAAAAATTTCATGTTTTCTGAAGGTCTGTGAGAGTCTGTAAGTACAGTTAAAAACTTAAGTTCGTTGTTTACACGCATGAGGAAAAATGTTCTACGATTGTATGTAAGAAAAATCTTGAAACTAGTAAGATTGAAAGCTGAAGACAGTTGTAGGAATGACATCCATCGCCTAGTACGGATTTAATTGCTCCAACTTTCTTCAGCTTTCAGATATTAGTCTAGTTTAGAACTAGTGTGAAAGTGAGAATTTTCTTCAACGAAAAATACCAAAATTCGTGCCCTCAAGTTGATGAAGAAAATCTTCCTCCCCACGCTCACGAACGTCAGCAGATCTATCTTGGCAAGAACGTGAGAGGTAAAAATCCCCCCCAAGAGTGTGCTTACATTACATGCAGCTTCTCCCGACAGAAGTTAGCAACGGCTCTGCCGTTACAGTGACAAGCAGTATAGGAACATAAATGAGTATGCAATTTCGATGTTCAGCACTTCAGACAGATGTTACCCGATCGGAAAATTTCTGCAAACCCGTACAATAGTACGAATTGATGTGAGAACTCGATTGTGACCATTTATCATCACATGTCCTCACATCCCACAAACGTCATGCACGTTCTGATGTACATACGTGACATATAGCACTCGACATCCTCGCTTTTGCCCTCAGCACTACTTCTGCGATTTCTATTGGCGAGGGGATTCAAACGACACTTCTACTCTAGAGACACAAAAAAAACAAGCCCATCCAGTAGACGTCTAGACTATCCTTCACTCTCACCAAAGCCTGTTGTGTAACAGCTTCGAAATGAACCAAAGTAACCAACCCTATCCTACAAAATCACATCCGTACACCCAACCACGTTCTTCCAAAAAGAAGATACAAAAAATAACGATTTTCCAGTATCACAAAGGATTTTTTTTCTGCCTACCAACTGAAGTGGACTCAGTAGACTAAGCACTTTCTGATAGTCAGGGATTCAGAGATGGTCCATTTCACATGCTAAAGTAAGTGGCTAATTTTGCTGTCCTGAGCTATCATTTGGTCAATCGCAATTGGCTATCTGCCACCTTGTACTAAACCCGCCTAACTGTCACAAGTGCAAAAACTTTGTTTTGTGCTAGTTGTGCTGCACATACCGATTTAGCCTGCCTAGCCATGTGACCCTACCTTCCCAGCACAGACTGCTCCTTCCTGGCAGCCCAACTTGATACAAACAAACCAAGATTCGAGGTCCTTATTTTCATCGTAACTTTAACATCACTATCTCTTTAATATTCCGATATATATTTCAAAATCAAAATCTCTTTTCAAATGTATCCATGATTCGTGGAATTCACACGAGTCTACTCTAAAATATGAGGTGGGGACTAGTCTGTACACTTGTAGTCATATGTTTGCCAGTGTCTCAGAAGAAAGTTGCATGTTGCGAGAATTTTTCTTCCCTTGGTTGTTGAGTTGGATGACCTCCACCTGCCTGACGGTAAGGAGGAGAAGGTCAGCCTGGTCACTTGTGTTCAAAAATACTACCCTGCAGCTTTGTACTTTGTTACTGGTGTCAATACGACAACTCTGTCTATCCATAGCTGTGGTCAATCACGTACTCCCAGAAGCTTTTAACGATGAAAAGGTCAATTTCCACCTCTCCTTTCTAAGGAAAAACTCAAACCAGTGAGGGATATTACCAAATGAAGAAATTCCAGGTTTTGCTCTCAGCATTAGTAGGGCATCCGCCACTAGCGCAGTGTAAAGGTCTAGGCCATTCATTAGAAAAAGTAAGTGCATAGCTTTATAAAGAGATCTTTCGTTTGCCACTTGCCATCTTCACAGATTGGCGAATATTGAGTGCGATTTTCCCCGTAGATTACCGTGTATTACCACTCAGGCCACCAGTATGTAGATATTTTGCTTTTTTTACATTAACAGAGCTCGAGTCGAAACGAGTATGGGGAGGTAACGACTACTACTTTCTATTCCGTTGTCATTTCTCTATTCATATTGACGCATTAAGACACATGGTGAGAACATTTACAGCTAAATGCTGCTGCATTAACAACTAAAGCCTGGGGGCTTTCGTTAACTGTAGAATTTGTTGAGTCGACACAGACAGGAACACACGTGTACTACTTCATGCTGTGCAGAGATATCTAAACTTCTGTGGAGCCAAATTTCGACAGATAAACAAGTTTGATGATCCCTTTATTGGATTATCGAGCTTGTTGAGACTAAAAAATTCCCCAAGACTGAATATTTCGCAAGATAAAGACACAAAACAACTTCTTCCATGATATAATTTCTTGAACCTTTTCATGTAGGATTGCAGAACTCTCCAAAACTTAGAAGAATCATTCCTCTCAGAAGCACTCTAGATCAAAGCATTCATTGCCGTTTCATCTTCGAAATGAGTAGCGAAATTCTATGCCATTTGAAACTACTTGACTAACTACAGGAATCCATTTTCATTAAAATGCTTGAAGTACATAAGAGAACGGGATACTGTAAACAAGTCAATCGCCAGGCCACAGTCGTCAAACCTTCAAAAACACAACAAACTTACATATTTCCAAGAAAAGAAGAGGACCAAGTAAAAAGAAATGGAAATGGAATCTTGTGGTAGACACGCTAATCAATCTTCATAAAGTCGTGGAAGACTACATATTAAAAATAAAACAGAAATTGAATCGTATGCAGTAATCAAGGAGCAAATGCCCATCACGTTCAAGGCGAACAACTTTCTCGAACAATCCTGTAGCAAGTTTGGAACTTGAACCTCTTATTTCAACATAGTGTCTCTTGCTTAAAGTATGCATGACAGCTGCAATGAAAAAGGAAGGAGCACTACATAATTGGAAGAACATGGCAAAGTCAGGCAGAGGAACGAACAAAGGTCAATGGATTGCAACAACGGACGAATAGCTGTCGGGCCATTGAAACCCATCGAATCCGCTTGCAAGTTCAACTTTCTTCACATGGAGGTCGGGCCAAAACGTTGAAACCAGAGCAATCCTCCTCCACGATTCCGTCGACGCCAACTCCAGTTCTCACGTACGATACAAGACACGAAAAAGAAGCTTTGAGGGAAATGGTCCCAAGGAAGAAAGACTGGAGGACGATGTGGGCACGACACACCGAGACCCAGAGTGAAGGACGACCGGAGGTCACAGTCGCGTCGCCCGGAAGATCTCGTCGAGCAGGCCGCGGGAAGGCCGATGTGACAGGGGTGGTACACGGCCATGTGATGGTACAGGTCAGCTGTCACGTCAGCATAAAGGCGCTCGGGGATGGATGGCGATCGGCCGACTTCGCGAACTTCGGACATGTCTGTCCGCGTGGCAGGCCGGACTCGGGATCCAGTGGACGAGACCTCCGTTCGACACGATACGCTTGAGTGCCGCTCACTCTCGCCCGGCCACGAGACCGTTGGACCCACGCGCCAACCACCGGATCGACGTTCGGGAATTTGATACAGACTCGCCGGTCTCGATTTCACAATTCGAAATTCGTAGAGCTCCGTGCCTCGATTCAAACTTCGGCGGCGGGAGAGAGCTCGTGCAACTGTCCGCGTCTCGAGCTCCAGCGACCGCGCTCGTACCTTGCTCCCCAGCTCTGCGCTGCTCAACGATTGTCGTCTAACGGAGTAATTAGCGTTTTTCCTTTTCGTGGTAGAAGATGGTGACAACTGTCTACGTCCAGTTGTGTGTGCTTGCTTCTGCCGCATCCTTCAATCGGCGATTGATTTACCTTCTGCTCGTAAGGACTATGCGCTTTTCGTTGAAATTGCTTGATTCCATTTTCACCGACTCTCAATTATTCCTCTCGGAATTAGTTTTCTTCATGCATTGGGTTGAACTTACATGAGTGGATGTAACAGGATTAAGTGATTGTAGTTAGTAACTTCCTATCAACGTCAGCTTTTAACATTTCACCTTCATTTAATCGTCTTCAGTTTACTTTTTCATATTAGTAATAATTTAAATGTATACTTTCACCGTTTCACCGCGAGTAGACGATAGCTCTTTGAACATTCAACTTGCGATTGGTAATTTCCAGCAATTTGCAAAATCCACAGTCGAAATTTTCGTATAAGCGTACGCCGATTTGCTGTACATTTTTCACTCAGTCTACGATACAATATTCAAACTTTCGAAAACTTTTCTACTATTTACTTGTGAAAGCTAAAATTATTTCTGTTTCGAAATAGAGTCAGACATCTGACAAATGTCCACTACACGGCAACTTCCATTTAATGCATTGACAATAGCAGAATCTTTCTCTCGCTTTATCACTCGTTTACCATCTGTCCAAGAATGACAAACTTCACCTTTCACGCAATTGACTTTTATATTTCACCATAATGTCAAGCAATCATATTTGTAAATTGAGACTCATGACACTCCAGTTGAAAAACAAAATTTCCTCAGACATTTATCTTTGAGATCAGGACTCCAGCCCCTCCGGTGAAGTATAAAAGGACTCTAGTAAGCGAAGACAGCAGGACGAGTAGCGAGATGCGTTATCTTCATGCAGACCAGGAGGGGGGAATTATGTTTGCAAATCCTCCAAGCGGATTCTATTGCTGATAGTAAGATGAAGCGTTACATAAAATTGGAATCTCACAACCTAGGTAAACATCTGTCCACTTCTGATAACCACTGTCGCTTGTAGGATTACATTAAAACCCCGCTGGCTTTGAAAACGAATGTTTCTGCGTCAAATACTTCCTTGAGGACGAAAATCGTATTACTTACGTGTAAACTAAAAAGCCCCCAAACCTCCCGCTGGCTGTCTAAAGCCAGGATGTTTGTCCCCTTTCACAATTCATACGAATATCAAAATTTGCTAGAAAGGCAAGAGGGAAAGCTTAGGAAGCAGAAAATTGTCACCACCAGTTCCTACATCTGGCGATGAACCATGTGTTAAATCCTCCAATTCGACGAAACTCAGCGCAGACATGTGCCACCAGCAGCTTAGAAAAAAAGCTTTTACAGATCGGTATTTACATGCTGAGCTCACTAGCAGTAGAGCCTGTCCCCACAAGCATATCAGGCCATAATCTGGTCCTACTGCGCCTTCTTGTCCTTGGGCGCAGCCCTAGGGATTTTACTCAGCAGGAGAGCATCGATCTTTTTGTACTGGACATTAGCCTGATCAACTGCAACCTTGCCGTACTTGTCAACTTCATCTTCGTACTTCTCATACAGAGCTGGGACCGTATGGGAGGCGACAACACCTGTGTATAAAATTACACTCGTCTTAGCAAGTAACAAACAGGTTTTGGCTTCGATTTCATAAAGGCCAGGCAGGAATTTGGATACCACGAGCGCTAGATCCTCACCCAGAGTGTGATTTGCATGCAAACAAGAGTGAACCGATCCTGAGAACGCAGCAAAACTGGACGATTAACCTCAAATTAAGCCTGCTCGCGATACAGAACAAGGAAAGCGTAGATCTGAGATTCACGTACCGATGTACACAAGTGTCAAGAAGTTGAACCATCCACCAATAACAGAGAGCACCCAGAGGCCGGCAACCACCTAGTGTAGACAGTACAAGTGATCGTCAGTGTCTCGGCACACATCACTTTATATCACAACCTCAATCAAGAGAAGATGAAGAAACGCATAAATGCTCAGCCTTACCTTCAGAAAGAGCTTCCAATCCCTTCCGAGAGCAACATCGTGTGCTATTGCAAGGATTTTGTTGATTTCAACGCGGAGAGTTTTTGCAGTGTGAACCACGGTGTCTTCAGATAGCGCAAGTTCAGGTAGTGGAGGTGGAGCTCTGCAAGATGAGAATTGCCCGTGTCAACATACCTTGCTACTATGCTCCTTCGTGAAAACGGACACAACGATTCCATAAGACCAGACCGAGACGAGGTGTCCCAGTCCACACATACCTGTTCAGAAGACCAGCAGCATTCGACCACAAGAAGAAGATGACAATGAGGAAGAGAAGCACGTTCGAGACGAGGGACAGTAGAGTGTAACCAGACCACTCGAATAGAATCCAACCGATTGTCGCTCCCGCTAGAACACCACCGGACAAAGGCTTGTGCTTCCACAAAAGGACGTCCGCAGCTGAGAAAGAAAGATCTGTTGGGTCAGCCAGATTGACCTCATACATACCCACGAGACTCAGGCGACGAAACTACACCAAGAAAGCCTCGCCGTCCATTTCCCCTTAACACCCTGCTCTACAAATGTGAAAACCCCTGTCTCCGACGCTAGAGCGTGACCCTGGTGAGTATACTCCATAGCCTATCCACTCGGGGGCGTTATCCTACCTTTGCCACCGCCAAGTAGCTGATGAACTGTCTTTTCCCTGTTAAATAGCCGGCCATGTGAAGATTTGCCCACGGCATGTGATGATGTCGCCGCGGGGAGCTTCGACAGGTTTTCCACCACGTTGTTTACAGCGGCCGCCACTGCTCCTTCCGCCACATGTTCAGACATGATGCCTACAAAGGAAGAAGAAGCAAGGTAAGAGTAGAGCCAGCGGAAGTGAAAGTTTCACGGTGAGGATCATCGAAGACAAGAAACTTCATCTCTTAAATGAAAAGTCGGCTCGAGAATTAATATCTTCTCTACAAAGGCGGGACATGAAAAACCTCGTCCTTGCCCGGGCGAAGAGTTCCAGAAGCCCAGATTGGAAAGATCAGTAAGAAGCTCTCTAAGGCGGTGATCAAATTGCAAGAGGCAACAGCATGACAATCAATCAGCTGCTCTTAGGCCCAGGACTTACACGACAATCTAGGTTCAAAAGCCGATCGAGATGGCACGCTCGACCGAGATCAGGGAAAACGGCGAGGAAAACTTCGAGTTGAACCAACGGAACCAGCAAATTAAACTTTTCCCGATCAATAGACGAACCTCAAAAGGAGATCGAACTCGTCTCGGTTCGATCGATCGAGCCCCGAGTATCGGAAACGCGACAAGCACGCACGATTGGTCGGTTTCTTCAATCAAGCAAGAAGGCTCAACAAGAACAATCAAGCAAGCACACGGATCGAGCTTATAATACGATCTTCAGACCTACCAGAAGATTGGGAGCAGAGACGCTGTACTGATGATGCAGAGAGACAGGAGGCCTTGATCACCGAAGGCGATGGTGCTTAAGAATCGATCGACGCGGAGTATCAATTGTTTACTTGCCAGCTCTCTGAACAGGGATCCAAGAGAAGTCTCCGGAATCAGCAGACTAGCAGGACATGGAGGAGGAGGAGGAGCGCGGGGGAAAGCGAGAGACACGAGCGGGCCAACCCCGTTATGGCGCCCAACCAGAGCCCGCCGTCCGATGACCTGTCGCATGCGCTGGCCACCGTCCGATGCCTCCCCGTGGCCATGTCCCCGCTCCTGTGCGATCATTTTAGGTCTAGCGGCGTTGCTGTCACCTTGTATCCCCCCCACCCCCCCGCTCTTCCATGACCCATACATCCTGCGCATCATCTGAAGACGTGGCACCATGCCCGCATCATACGCGCTTGCCAAGTCCATCATACGTTCCAAGCCAAGCGCTCCCCGCCGTCCAGTACCTGCGTTCGTCCAAATACGGTAATTACCTCGCCCCTCTTTCACCCTCTTTCACCCTCGCCCTCGTTTTCACCCTTCCCCGGTCTTCCGTCTTCCGGCTAGGGACAAGTTTGATACCCCGGCTGCGCGCGCCGTTCGAATCCATCTTATCGTGCCCCGTCCGTCCCCTTTCGTTCCGATACACGCTCTAGAATATCATATCGCCCGATTATTATTGATCGTCCTCCGGTCACGGGCTTTCTGTTCGCGAATCCCCATGCACTGTATTCTCCCGCAGTGCGTGGAGCGCTGGCCCGGGCAATATTTGGCCTTCACGTGTTTCGGGGTACCCTCGTCCCCAGTCGCGTTCTGGGAGGTGAGCCATGAGGGATGCCATCGCTTGGATTGTTGGGAAGGTGGTCGTCCCCTTCGACCAGACTGCGATTCTGTGAGTGGTTTCCGAGCTGTGAATCGAGCGAGTGCCTGCCAAAAGGTTGCTTCGTGGGAAATCTTTGCCGATTCAGATGGGTGAACCGGTGATCGACTGGATCTATTATCTTCGAACCTCATGCGTGTTCTCTCTTACTACAGTCGAAGTCAACAACTGATGTGAGTTCATCTAGTGACACTTGAAAATGTCGATATTTCAAACAGATCATGACTGTCGAGAATCTTTTTGAAAATCTATATATCAAATGGTGTTTTTGTATACGTCCAGATGACCAAGCCCATGAAATACGTCTCTGCTGTGATGTACTCTCACATAATCATCCAAACACACGCGTGTAAGACATTTCGTTATATCCAGATCGTGCAGTAAACAAAACTTCTTGAAATAATATGTCACGATATGTACCCAAAATGCCCTTGTGATGTGTGGATTTCTATGGAAAAATCAGTCTTCTTTGAAATATATATAATAGCATTTTACTTTCTATTCGTGTAAGTATTGAAATATTTTCCATGTCAGCATTGTGTTGTGTGTTGACGTGCTCGGCTTACATGTGTCGTTTTTCTATTTCACATACATGAGAACCAGAAAATTTGTCAGTTGGAACTTCATTGTGATCTCTATATGGAGCTTTACTGCACGTTGTTTTCATACGTTACTTAGATTGCATCGTAAAGCACTTTGCAATTAATTAATCTTATCAATAATAAAACGGACTGACGTATGAAGATGTATTCATAAGTGTACACATTAAGAATATTAATGAAATATGTTTATTGCTTGGTACATATTAGGGTTTAAACAACAATCATATTATACGCTGAGTACAACATTTTCTTTGAAGACTTGAACAAGTATTTGTTAAAGACTACCCTAGATTGTGAAAAAATAATTTTTTTGCACACATACTGTATTTAAATGATATGAAGTTGTTGATTGATCTTCTTATTTATTTTTAGCATATATGTGGTTAATTGAGAGTAATTGCATCAAATGAATCCTTAAAAATTCATATTGAAAAGTTTCAAATAGTTATTTAATAGACGTGACTCTTATCATATTTCAATAATACCTATCAATATTTGAAAAAAAACACTCCTTCCAAAAAAATATTTTATTTCATATGCTCAAGGTGAAAAATGAAAGATGTAAGAAGTGTATGTACGTCGACATTATTGTTATGTATCATATCACAATTCTGATTGTAAATATAAAAATACGTGTATTATCTTATAGCTGACATAAAAATGTAGTAAGAACTGAAAAACTTAAAAAAAAACTGAGTAACATAACAAAAGAATGTGGAAATCTATCTACTTGTTTGGATAGATAACATTATCTTAAGATTATTATGTCATATTGGAACTATATTGATCAATCGTTTTGCATATGAAAAACCATCATCAAATGTGATTGTTTTCACACGGACTACAAAACATGATTATCTTCAATGGAAGACTAAACACCTGCGCCATACAGTGTCCAACACACATACATTGATACATGTTACCTTGATTACAAAAAGTGAGAAGAATTATGATATCCCATGAAGTCTACTAAGATAAAATCTTGCTATTAGATGTGTGGAAGGTGACAACAATAGACATTAGCTTGATAAACTCTAAAGAAACAAAATGTTGAGAAATATACATTTTTCATTTGCCCACCACCCAAACAGATGTTTGATTATTTATCGAAGATCTGTAACACATAGTTTACCTAACCTCACACTGACATATTATTGGACCAAGGTTATATCATTATTCATACAAAATTGTGTGATGAGGTTGATATATAACCAAAACATTGTGAACGTAGGCGTAGTATTTCATAGTTTAATGTAAATCTGTCATAACTTAGCTACATTGCACTGTATACCAACACTTGCTTCATATTAGATATCCACCTTACTCATAAAAGTTACAAACACCATTAAAAAATATTTGTGGGTTTAAACCTAAACCATATGCTATGCAAATCTAACGGTCATCTAGTCACCTGGACTCATTTGGATTTAATCGAAAAACGAACCGAGCTCACATGATAAAACGAAAATGCATCTGAACGTTCATGACGAGGGTGGAACTCGGAATATGTAGATGGAGTATAAAGTGCTGTGAGAATGAATATTGTTGTTGGATGTGTAATGCAGAATGCTCGCAGAGTACTGTACTCGTACACGGTATCAGAAAGAGTGAATGTCTTGGCATCTGATCGGATTTTTATTCCACTTCAGATGCGAGCTCCAGATGAAAGTCAAAGTGAGATTCGAGCCAGGAATGCACGGTCGTCATCTGGCCAAGTGCGGGACCAGAGCAAGGCTCAAAAGTCCGACATCGCCGATCGAGCTCGAGCAGCGGAACATAGTTGCCAGTTCTGTGCCAGTCGCGAGAGTCGTGGACGACGGAGGGCGAGATCGAGAGCATCGGAATCTAATTCGACGCGCAGGATGCAGCTCTTTAATTCAGGCCTGGCAGCATGCATGACCATGACGGCCATGCAAGGACCATTCGGTGGCATGATGGCGAGGCGCTAGCCCTCCGGCGTGAAACCATCCTCGCTGCCGGCCGAGACCAGTCGTCGCTCCGTGACCGGTGAATGGCGGTGGCTCTCGGCCTCGTGACTGCCAGCAGACGGTGAGACGACCGCGTTCGGGTGCCGGGTGCAGACTTGTCAAGTGCATGTGAGGTTTATGGTTTTAGAGCTTGTACACGCAGTGATGCACGTATCTACCGATCTTCTGTATGCTGGCACGTGTCACGGTCAAAGATATACAAGTAATACTGCTACGGTGGGGTGTCTCTGCTGCTGTTTAATATTCCAAATTTCCTCGTTCCTCCGAACAAAGCGTTCACGAGGTGAGGTCATATTTTTCCCGGGGACCCACTTCGAAGGAGAAAATATGTCCGCTTGCCAGTCTACGGCAGGCTGTCCCCAGAGCAATGGCCGAATCTGCTTCCGATTTTCGCGATATATTCTAGATTTTCCCTTTGAGAATCCAGTGGAGGGGCAAACTTACCCTACCCCATTTGTTACTTCCTACCCTAATGCATGGTCGACACTTACTCGCTTCGCCTTCTTTTTTTAACATTTCTTTGTTTGTTGGTTGCTCGGCTGAGAGTCTTTGGTTCTGAGTTGCTTGCAGAGCACATTGTCCAGCGAGACGCAGCAGTTGGTGAGAAGTAATGCTGGAGCAATGATGTATCGACATTTCTCTCCTAATCAAGTAGACGGTAGGAAAATGGTCATTGGGTCTGACAAGTCTCGATATTCCGGAAGAAAATGATTATCTTGTCTCGACAATTTTTTTCGGGTTACTTTCTCCCTTCGTGGGTCTTCGGAACTGGTGTATGATTTGGAACAAACTTCCAACTTGTGAATAGTGATGAAGGCTGCATAGTAATAAATATGAGCAACTTTGGGAGTATATATTGGGGGATATAATAATGTATAATAAATAGAATTGCAGGTGTCCTTTTAGAGTCTGTTCAGTGTTTAGACTGAATAATTATGACAATAGGATTATAAGCAATAATAAAGCATATGATTTTCACTGAAAAACAAAAGACTGAAGAAGGGGTTTAAGGAAGCAGCTCTGTACGGGGTGGCAGTAAATTCCACAACAGATTATCGTACTTTAGTAGAATATTGTGCAGGAATCTCACAAGATACTCGTGCATTTCAAGGAGAAAATCTCATTCCGTTACATTTTTCGGTGATCTCCCGATTCTTAGAATTCCCACTTTCATGGGTGTTTGCAGAGCTTCTGTAAACTTTGTTTCTCTTGGGTTTCCAACAAAGGTTTGACGGACTTACACATTCTCGGACGGGGAGGCTTACGACCCTTGGCCGATTCAGACAACTTGTTTCAGTTTTCAATAGAAACCCGCTAGTAATGATCAAATCTCCACGTATATATATAGTCCACACCTTTTAAACATAAATTACGTATCTTCAGGTTGTTTTAAGTACTCTGCAAACTACAAGTTATTTAAAGCTTGACTGTCAATAAGTTGAAGGACCTAACAACCATCAGATTGATCGTGCCGTTTTCTCTGCCATATACCGTAGAACAAAATAATTCAAGAGTCAGATGAGAACAGATGTTTTTCTTTCGAGTCAATCGGACAAAGCTCTCCCAAAAGATGAATTCGAGTGCAGAAACCTTTATATCTTAAGCGAAACCGCTTAAGATATGCGTTGTTTTCATACAGT